ATCTTTAATCAGTACGTGTAATGATCTATGGAACCGAAACATAGTCCTACAAGGTTAGCCGTATGCAGAAGCATTCAAGTTGTTTAGCGAGCTATGGAGAGATCTATCTATGCTCGGAAATTCTTTATGTGATAGAATCCGAAATGAGGATATCCACAGAAGAACCAAAGTGATCGACATAGTCCGTAGGATAAGCAAGCTTAAGTGACAATGGATTATCACATAGCTCGAAGAACCGACAATCGATGCAGAAGAAAAGTTCTTGAGAGGCTACCCCGTACATATAGGATATAGAGGAGCAAATACAATATAGAACGACCTACTAGATAGAGCTACGACCTCAAACGCAGTACAGGGAGTCAGTGGATGTAGGCGGCCCAGGATCGCACCTTATAGTCTTTGGGGGAGGCCTATGTTCAACATGTTGTGGACAGTTAACAGCTGATATAATCCTGATAACATATTAGGCAATATTTTCACCAACTTTGGTGATTATTTTTGCTATAGTTAAGTTTATTACTTTTAATTTTTTTAGAATGTGGCACAAAATTTATAACAACTCGGTACTACCAAAACAAATAATAGCATTGCATTTACAAATAGGTATGTATTATAAAAATTTTGTATAATGTCACTACTGTAATTAATAAAATAACTGAAAACATTATAGAGACTGGACCTACTTGAAACATACAAATTTTCATATCAAATCCATGAAGCCATCTATAACTTGTGTTGAGTATACGTATTATAACTTGTGTGCCTAGACAAAAGCTATAGAATGTAACGTAAGTGCTATTTCAACGACCACCATTACCTACTCTTGTAAATAAAATCACTGTACCAAACTAAAAGCATTCTTTGATCCTTTAATTTTCATTCTAATAGATTGCTAGTCAAGTGGAAAACCGTGTTTCATGTTTGGCGACAATAACGCCATAATAAAATAGGTACATAAGACTGCAGTAATAAAATATTAATTGATTGGACGGAACATTTTCCAATAAATGGCATACTGACACTGTGTTGTTTTTCTATACAAACCATAAGCCTGCCCGATGTAAAGTGGTAACCATCACAATAATATATTTGAATGTACTGAAAATCAAAGCTACACGGAAAAAATACAAAATAAATATTATTGCTTACAAATTACATCATGAGCCTTCATAAAAAATTCATTTCGATTAAAAAGAGAAATGTTTACATTGTAATATTTCCAGAATGACTACATTTCTAGAATGAATGGTCGGAGATTTATGAGACTTTTTTCCATGTCTTTTTATTTATTTAATTTCTATTGGCCAATTAAATGTGGTACAAAAGGCGGGCTTAATAATAATGGAATTCTCTATCAAACAAACTTTGGGAAGTGCAGAGATACTCGAATGTCGTTTAGTACACAAATAAAATTATACATTAATGAATATACATATACATAAACTAATATATAGCATTTGTTACTTCTAACTGGTATGTTTGTAAGCAGATGTAAAAGCAACTCAAATCAGCATTCAGAGTGCAGCTTGCGGATGTTTAGTCGCGGATACCTATCAGTAGTTATAGGGCAGATATTATAGGCAGTGCCGTCGCGTCACTACGTCACACGTGCGTCATAATATCCAGCAACGGTCTCAAAAGGGGATAGAGGGCCATCCGACACAATTGGGGGTTGGGGGGACACTCATTGAGAGTTTTATTGATTCCGGGTTAATTGAGGTCGCCGTTTATTTTCAGTGGTGACCAAATACTTATGTGGAAGACGCGTCGTCAATTTTTATGAACTAAGAAATATTGAAGATGTATCTCAAATTTAACATACAACTGGTCCATGGATCTTGTAAACACAGAGAATACTACTACAGTACAACTAGTACTATAATCTTAGAAAACTAAATTTACGTTAAATTGTGACGTTTTGCAATAGTTTAGGTACATTAGCACATTTTTTTTTTCAACAGATTACATTAACTATAAAAAAGAGAACAAATATTCTGCAGAAGCGAGCTGTTCGTATCGTGAGAGATACTGAGGTGAGCAGAACTCTGGAACCTCTATATAGTTTCCCTCGTTGTCTTCTACCTGTAATTTATGAGGAGTGCTCAAATAAACTTCATTCCCGTATTCTACTGTCTTTTTTCCGTTATGGCACAACGAATATGGCCTAGCGACTACATCCCTATATGGTAGACTGTCTTCGCTCACGTAGAAATACTCGTAAATTTGCGAACTCCTCCTCGAACTATATAGTAGTAGTATAGTCTTTCCCGTGACGTGTTCCCTGCGTTCCTATATTTTAGAATCCTTCTATGTGTGTTCTTCTATGTAACTTGAAAAAAACAACAAACCGCCAACAAACGAACAATATTTAATATTTTTATTGTTAATGTATTTAAAGGATTATTACGTCTATTGAATCTAGACCCTAACTAGACCTTGTATTAGTCATTCGTATATCGAACATAACGTATTCATTTATTCTAATTTTGTCACTAGGAACATTCACATGGTTTTTTTTTTAATAAAAATAATAATTTATTATTACCTCAAGATTGATAAGAAATTGAAGTAATTTAATATTAGACATGTCGCTTTACTTTTTTTTAATACGAAAGCAATCCAATTTCTCAACTCAACAAAAAAAATCTTTGGTAATAAGTTCGACCTGAACCCACTCCCAAATATTGTGTATTATCTGTCAATTTAGATTTCCATCCAACTCTCCGAAGATGGTAAACAAACAGATTCCTGGAGGAATTGTCGAATACTCAATTTAGAATATTCATATCTAACACGACAGGCTAAACCTATACGACGCTTCATGGATAACATGACCATACGTCTCAATTTGGCCGGGACAGTCCCGTTCTTCAATGCTCTAATTCTGATGTTCCCGAGGAAAGCTTTAAACTGGTCAAAATTTCGTCACAAGCACTACAAAGATGTACTGTACTGTAGAATGAATTTTATATATACCTACCTAAATAATAAATAATGTCTCTAAATAAACTATATAATTATTTTTTATTACATTTGTAATTATAATGATTAATGATCTTGCTATATCATACAAATATTATGTTTCTTAAAAAAATATAACTTTGTCCATTTTTGATTCTTTACTTTTTCATTATATTTATGTAATTATATTTATAAACTTAAATTTTAATTCTAAATAAATATATCTGAGTATAAAGAATGGCGTTTAAGACTATGCGGTCTTAATTAATGCGGGTATCTAATCGTATTTTTTACAATGTCCCGTTTTGAGCGAAATAAAAAATAGACACACTACTCGTCAATTAATTGGATTTATTAATGATGTTTACCTTTACGGAGAGTTAGTTGATTGGAAATTCAAATAGACATACAATACATGTGATAATTTATGGAAGAGTACATGTGTTTTTGTTTTATTATCAATATTAACATAATTTTAGTGTTGGCCAGATTTAATTTGTGAAAATTGCTCATATGCCTTCATCTACTAGAAAAGATCTGATAATCTTCAAATGGATTAAGACATTTTTTAATGCATGGTTGATAAAGTTAACTTTCAAATAAATAAGTTTGACAAATTCCAACCTTATGATTAAAAACCAGCATATGATTAAAAAATAAATTGCAAACGTAATAAGGATACATAAACAAATTAAATAAAAGAACAATATTTTGTTTGTGTATTTAAAACAAAATCGATTCAACGGTTTGAGAGCTACATTGTCACAGACAGTCACACAGACACATACTTTAAACTTATTACGTCCTTCTTTTTGCGTCAACGGCGGTTAAAAACTCAAACCTTTGCAAGTTGAAGTCCACTGCTTCTTGAAACTTATGATGAACTTATCAAGTTAATACCAGGATGACTTTCAAAATCTAGGTTATGCCGTTTCGAGTTCATTGTTGCTAATTGCATGCAACTTTCAAGTTCTAACAACTTAGCTAATGAGTTTTGATATAAACAGTACATAACTACTAGTATGGTTTATACTTGGTAACTAGCTACCCTACAAACAGGTGAAAGGGGCTACGACATTTTAACTAAGTTTAATTAGTTATTACTCAATGTTATAAAAACTAGGTAACTTTGACGTCTAACAAATAATTTTTACCGACTATGGAAGAAGGAGTGTAGTATTTTTAGAGTGCATACCTTTGTATGTAAGGATTGGATCTTTTGTGCAATAGTGCATAATTTAGCAACCCTATTAATCATATATCCTGTCAGGTGAATCTCCACGCGTTTTCTCTTGCAAACCATCGTGTCTAATTCCTGATGAATTCATTACAACGAGCCAACTGACCTGGCTTTATTCTCATTTGATAAATCTTTCATCGGTATCCTACTAGCATAGATAAAACTTAATAAAATTGAAAGTATTTTATTATACAATAAATTTATTGAAACAATCCAATATTTTAGTTTACAACGTAATTTATATTTCCCCGTTATTAAACAACTGTCTAAGACAGATATCTTGTAAACGCAGACGCAAGTTAACTCGTGCTGAATCCTATGACCTATTAAAATATAAATACCACAAGAATAGTAATAATATATTTTATTGTTTAATACTAAACAACAATAATATATTTAAAAAATACATAACAAAAGTATAACGAGTAAAACCTTATTGCTGAAGACTTGACAGACTATTACGAAAATAAAAAAAAATCCAATTTATCCAAATTCGTCCAGCCACCCTTAAGTCTCAAGTAATACCTTTATCAAGAGACAGCATTTTTTTATTATACACATAGATAAATGATGTCGTATATACAGGCATTAAAGTAAACCACTGCGATGCAAAGTGGCCGATATAGCCCGAAACATCGGAAATTAGAGCGACAATGAACAACAGTTAAATAAAGAAGTAGTTAGGTATATTTAAAAATAAAAATACCAAGCCTTAGTCAATTTGCACTCCCGCTCAACCTATCTGGATAACTCATTTTTCTCACATTAAACCGATTCTTAAACCTTGTTATGTTTCTAGGACACTCATTATGACTGGAACGAGACGGACATCCTATCTCATGGAGTTAGCGGTCTTAGTTTGCATCGTACAGACAGCCTAAACCAACGGCCATTAGCGGCTCTAAAACGAACCAGCAGTAAAGGGAGTGCATACAGCCTTCGGAGTGCTAGAAAGGAACTTACTAAACCACCTACCCAGATTGAAAGACCCACTACAATACCTGATGCAGGATTTGGCACTTTGGAAATTAAGTTAGCGTATGACAACGCGACGTCTTCTCTTGCTGTGACCGTTTTGAGGGCGAGAGGACTGATTGGCATGGACATGACAGGACTTTCGGATCCGTTCTGCAGATTAGAAGTTTTGCCCAGAGGTAAGGATGAATAGAAAATTATGTCTCATGAGTTTTAATCTATGGCGTAGATTATCGCAATCGTCATTTGTAAACAATCTGCAAGTTCTTTCTATGCATCCCATCACCGTTATCACTACAGCATAGTGCACTACCTATATTAATTTATGTAATTCTACTGGGCTATCAAAAAGGCAACTAATATTTTTCAGGAGCAAGAATTTACATAATCAGTACGCTCAATACTTACAAAAGGTTTAAAAATGCTTGTATTAATGTATCCAATAGAGAATGTGGCCGTCCAAATTGCATTTTAGCAAGACTAGATCTGCCCAATGAACAATAGATACTAAATAATAAATGAATGAATGAGTAAGTACATAAATCTATTTCTTCTTTCTGTTATGTTACAGAAGGCACCTATTCGAACAGATTGCGAACTAAGACCGTACACAAAACAAAAAACCCTGAATACAACGAAACGCTGCATTTCTTCGGCATCACTGAGTCTGACCTCTCTACTAAGTCACTGGAAATAGTCTTATTTGATGACGACAGGTATAAAATGCATTTATATATTTAATATCTACTTATATGTCTAGCTTCCTAACTTTCCTAAGTTCATAATCTTCAGAAGTTTTCTTATAAAATATTTGGAATAATCTTCAGAAGTTTTCTTATAAAATATTTGGATAAAAAGAAAGCATGCTATTATACATATATGCTTACGTATTTTGCTTCGTCTTTTATAGCGACTTTTTCAAACTATGTATATATTTTAATTAATCTCATATCAGTTTCTTCTTTTATGGCTCTGACTGAACAGTCTCTTGAATTATGGTGTTTTTAATTACTCGAGCATAACACCTATATCTTTAAAAACGACAACTAATTAAGAGAATTATGGGCATACAACTCGCTTAAAAGCAATAGAACAAAAGTAGAACAGCTTAAGAGTAACATACACAATTAACCGCAAATACAATTGATTAGCTAATTAAACGTTTACAGTAAACAGAATTTAAAATAGTATCGAAAGGACAAGGATTTAGTCAATAAAAAATTCAATATCATGTCTACAGATATGGATGCGATGAGATGGGTTCAGCGACAGTAGCCCTCCGGGAGTGTGCCAAAGCTCCCACGCAATTACGCCTGGCACTATCAGGGACGACCGGCACTGAACCTGCAGGTCCTAGGATCCTGCTAGCACTATGTTATAGCACCAAAAGAGGGCATTGGTAGTCACTCTGTGCAGAGCTGCTGACTTGCCTCCTCAAGACAGCAACGGCTATTCAGATCCCTTTGTTAAATTGTAAGTACTTTGTTCCATCTGTACATGCTTTTTTTTTCTATTTAAGAACTGCGCTCTTGTCGGTGGAGCTCTTGCCACTCACTACGATTTTCAGCGAGTCTCTTCACCTCTTGATACGACACGACACCAACTCCTTCCTTGATCTGCTCGGTCTCCCTCTCCCCCTCCTTCCTTCTATCTTACCTTCTATTATAATGTTCATAAGTTCGTCGTGTCGTATCAAGTGTCCCAACATTTTTCCCCTTCTGTCCTGTACATGCTAAGTTCCTTAAAATGTATGCAGAGAATGTGAACAGCCTCTATCCTCATATATTGTGTGCTCTTTCTTAGAACGGTATTTGTATGCATATCGATAATTCCGATCACATTATAAATAACAATACATTCTTACAAAAGGTATAAAAATCAATAATAGAACTATCTACCTAATATCTAATCTAAACCTATGAAAGACAGCCATGCACTATTTCATATCTTTGGTACAAGAAATATAAGGAAAGACTTTAATATTTCATATTACCAATAGTGCTGTTGATGTCTAAAAGCAATGGTTACCACTCTACATTAAGTCAAATTTTTATACAACTTAGAATAGCCATTAACTTGACTTGACCCACATTAGTCTATAAAATACGTTACTAGGTCTTTAGTGCCTTATCGCAATCTTCAAACTGTATTCATCAATTAAGCAGCTACTTTACAGTAGAAGCACTAATGAAATAAAGATATCTATCAAAACATACCTAGTATTACACTCTAATCGTCTTAACATTTCAGACACTTAGATCCGGATCCCTACCACAAGAAGCATAAAACATCTATCAAATGGCGTAACTTGAATCCAGTATGGAACGAAGAGTTCCTCTTTGAAACACGTCCAACCGAGCTTTCCCGCCAAAATCTGACATTAACAGTCTGGGACAAAGACTACGGGAAACCCAACGATTTCCTCGGCAGTTTGATTTTAGGATTTAGTAGTAAGGGCAGAAGGCTAAAGCATTGGATGGACTGTATAAAATTCCCTGATCATCGTCATGAACAATGGCATTCTTTGACTGACACACAACATCTATAAAAACCTTAATGAGAATCTGACAAAATTCACAATCCGCACCGCATAGCTGATGAATGAAATAACCAAAATGTGATAGATTAATATGATATCACCTAATTTGCTACTATATATGTCTTTTTATTAATTTTGTATAATATAAAAACATCTCCCAAAGATATCTGTACGAATTGCTGTATTGTAATCGATACTTCGAAATGTCTTTTTAGCGACATGGAGTCCATTTTTATCTTTACCGTGAACGATAATATTATATACATAAAAACTTAAATAAGGTCATAAAAAAAAATATTTGCTCAGTACTCATTGTTAAGTGTGTTCCTTCACGCTGATATCCAAAATCGTTCAATTGAATTTAATGTAATTCTATGAATATGTATTGTTTACGATAGTTTTTATCCTGATAACATCTAAATGGAACCGGTAGATGGCGGCAGAAGGTAAAAAAATGTTTACTGGGTCAGTTAACATATTATAAAAAAAAAATGAGAATAAGAGTTTCGGAATGAAAATGGTGCTAGTTTTAAGATGTTCACTTATCCGATAATATTTATTAGTATTGTATCTAAATGTTACATCTTCGATTTGACCTTTGTAATTATTTATTCAAACATTACATTTTAGTATATATCACTCTACATCTACCTGTTACTAATCCAACCTTTATAATCATTTATACAAACATTGAAATTTACTACCAGCCTGCTACTGATAGAATATCTCAATATTAGTTTATCCTTTTTTTTTATTTTATTTTCTTTGTGTTGGAAATTGTGTATAAGTTTATTGATACTTTGTCACATTTTCGTAGTTGACAATTCCAAAGGTTTTTGAACCAATTAAACGTAACAATACAACGCCTATTCATAAATGCTTTAAGCACTTAAGTTTTGTAATTTTATAAGCTCTTTATATACTTATTATTTTATTTATATTATTTGACGTAAGTTTTTTACTAATAAGTAACGCAGATACTGTTAATAAAAAATAGTCTGTTAAGAACAAATGCCAACCAAAATTTAATAAACTTTTTTAAATTTAATATATACAAGGTATATTATTAAAGTATACTTAATGTAGGCATATTATATTGATAGGTTTATTAAGTTGATGTTGTAATGTTGTTATAATGTATTTATATTTATATATTAATTTAAATAGAAAATTGTAGAATATCTACTTATGAAAGGAACAATATAAAAGTATTATGAATGTTACCTATATAAATTATTTTTATAAATAATTTAATGGGTGTTTGAAAATGTGCCAAATTTTAAAATTTTGATATTGTAATGTATGTACCATGTTGTAAAATAATGAAGAGAAATGCCTTTGCAATTGAAGGATCCTATTACACTAGAAATAAATATTTTTAAAATGAAATTTGTATTTTATTTACAATCCTGTTATCAAATCAGATATATGATAAATATAAATTAACTAAGTACGTACTTACCAGAGATATAGATATACTACATCACCGTAGCTAGAGGAGTGGGGAGGGGGGACATTGAGGAACAATGCCCTACCTTGAAAGGCCCAATGCCTTATCTTGAAAAGAAAGGCCCCAAGAAAATTAGATTAATTTTTCGAAGTCACTTAATTATTATGGCTTCTATCCTAACAAAAAGTTCTTTTGCCTTACCTTAAACATGAGTCTAGCTACGGCCCTGATATACTAATACCTACTGATTATTAATTTGGAAAGTAATTTTACCCGAAAGAATTTTTTTATAAAAAACTATGCAATGTTGCTACCATATCTGTATATATAAAGTATATAAACATTCCACTTTAATACAGTAGTGCCCCCCACATTTCAATTAATAGTGGACTTTATCTATAGTTGCTGCTATCCGGCTCGAAGGACCAGTCATATGTTACTGTAATCTCATCATGTGAGATTTGTACTAATTACGATTTGAAGATAGGATAAACTGTTAATAATATAAGCTCTTAATTCGATTACTATTTGATATTTAGATTAAAGATATATAGAGATTTGGTATCAGTAAATTAATATGAATGTATATGAACGAATAATTAATAGACTACTTAAAATAAAACTGTCTACGACTGTAAATGATGCTATTAAATATGATTAGTAAAACTCGGTCGGACCGAAAGCTCTTTATATAAAACCGACTAACAAAGTTCCTTCACATTTGACGTGAAAATTAAATCTATATCTACACTAATATTATAAAGAGGAAAGATTTGTATTTTTGTGTATGTATGTTTGTAATAAATAAACTCAAAGACTACTTTGCCGATTACAAAAATTCTTTCACCATATGAAAACTACATACACCCTGAGTAACATAGGCTATATTTATTGCTAGAAAAGATTAGGGATCCTTAATAACATTTTAGTAACGTAACTCAAGGTGTAAAAAAATACTATAAAATATGTTTCGTCACGTGCGCTGCGAAAACTATTGGTGATGGAACAAAAATATGTTCTACAATATTGAAGAAAATATCAATAACTACAAAAAACTTCACGATACTATATGTCCAACTATTATCGTTATGTCACAATAACCACCTTTTACATTTTAAAAGTTGATAGAAATACCGACCAAAATTACACCATGTTATTCATACTTCTGTTTAAATCCTTATCCAAATAAATCATATTGTTTTCAAAACTGTATCAATTTATGTAGATTATTTTTTTAACTGTTCAAATCAGCTATTCCATTCAATAAATATTACGGATTTAATAAGTCATAGAAATAGAAAAAATAACGCTGTCGCGTTGTACATGTTATTCATACCTATTTATTTATCCTTATCCAAATAAATTATTTTGTATTCAAAATTGTTTCAATATCTACAGATTACTTTTTGAGATTTTCAAATCTTAGGTATATTCCATTTGAAAGATATTATGTTAAAAAGTCAGATATAGAAAAGGCGCCACCGGTCGCCTGCGCCGTGTCGGCCGCGTGGCTAGATAGCCAGGCATTGTAGCGGTGCAGGAGAGGCCAGGTGGGGACGGGCACATCTATGAAATAGGTAGAATCAGATAAAAATGTAAAATGTAAAAATGTCCACTCGTGAGAATCTGGGGCGGGCCGCTAGTCGTATAACATAAACAACGATTTGATTCATAATATCATATGTAAAATTATTTATAGGTACGATTAATAATTACTAAGGTAGAGGGGAAAGAAATTGTTAGTAATGGGGTCTTAAAGCCCCACTGCTGGCTATAGACCCTATCAGGTCGACCTTCACGCGAATTCTTCTAGAACCCATTGTAATTATTTTTATAATGTTCGTCGTAATGGGCTAACAAACTTGTTTTGATTTTTACCTATCATCCTTTATTGATGCTTCTCCGCCTGCGCTATCGGTATACGTTAGTGAGGACCAGCGTTTACAAAGTGCGCAGACAGGGTTTCCATTTCATTTTCACCCATTAATAAAAACTACTAAAGTATCTTACCCATATACATATGATAACTTAAGTTGCTATAATATTTTAATTTTAGATATCTATGGATATACAATATTTCCAAGCCATGTATTATATCGACATACAGAAAAGACGAAGACTCAAAATACGGAATCTTTTGTATTATTTAATTAACCTGCAGTAACGAAACGTTCATTTGTATAAAACAATAAAAAAGTTGCTTCGATAACTTTTTGACAGGTAGAAACCGTGTGAAAGAGAACATTTATCGGCCAAAGAATATAAATAATATTATAAAGCTTAAATATATTTCATTGCAGTAATGTGATAATATAAATTGTATTAAATATGGCATTCTTATGTCCGGTGCGAATTAGAAGGGGGAAGAAAAAGAAATGTGAGTAAGATTTATCTTCCAGAACTTAAGTCATTGACCTCATACTTTCTACATAATTAATTATAAATATTATACTTACTTAGTTGATCCTGTTTCACTTGATGAATGTCATACATAATAACGAAACAGTAACTTCAAATACAATAACAATAATAAAGCAGTTGTAGTTTTATTCTATTCAAATGCTATTCAAATAATTTATATTAACTATTAAAAATAATTTTACTTACAAATTTCATCCATTTTCACTTATTGATTTACCAAATACAAAAACTGATTATAATGTGCTATATATTTGTAATTCTTTTCATATGTACTTAATACACATATCTGTCATATCATTATAGCATTCAAAATTTTATTGTGTCTAAAAAGTATCAAAAACTAATAAAGTTATTTATGAAAAATATAAGTTTTCATGCACAAAGCATCTTTTTTAACTAAAACAATTGTATTTCATTTACTATAACAAAAATAGGTAGTCAACAAATGGCTCTGACTACCCCATCTAAGTTTACAACCAACATCCATCTAATTTACAACTAATATTGACAATATTTTTTTTCGTCAATTCTAGCTAATAGTGGTGACTCAGATAAGGATCCGTCTCGGCCAAATTCAGGACTAAGTCCTGGAATGGGGAGGATCACAGGATCAGCCAGTATTGAGACTTTAGTTCGAGTGGGCATTGAAAAGGAACATGGCCTCAGTCCAGACTCTAAAATGGTGGTACTACATGACTTTGCACCTTGTGTGGATGATGAACTTGAGGTAGGTATATCAATTTTCAATTTGTTTAATTTAGTTGCATTTTTTCTTTTTTAATTTTGCTTATATTAATATTTAATTAAATAATGATCTGATATACTATCTGCTTTATTTAGTTTTCAATCTTCATTAATTTGCTACTAGTTCTTAGATAGTATATATATTTCTTGAGTCTCTAAGACTCTGGTATAGTTGAGTAGCAAATTCATTCAATTTATATTGATACTTACTATAGGTTTCTATCTTGAATCAAATTGTATAATTATGTGCAAATAATTATTTCTGTACTGGTCACAACTCATGACTATCCCACTACAGGCCCCAAATATATTCTGTACTGTATGATAACATACTCTTATTAACATTATACATTTTATAGTTTGTAATGATGTTTGTTAGTCAGTTATGCTCAGTGTAATAATAAACATGAATTTCAAATTTCATCAAGTGCCAACAATCTCCAGCATTAACAGAATTATAAACTTTATGGGATAACTATATTTTTCAGGTAAAACGAGGACAAATTGTTAATGTATTATACAGAGAAAATGATTGGGTATATGTCATAGTTGCTGAGTCGAGAAGAGAAGGTTTCATTCCACATTCATATTGTGCTCCATGTGAACATCATGATTTGAAGAAAAAGCTGCCAAGAAGTCGATCTCCCACTGATATGGCACACAGAGATGTTTCTCAGTAAGTAATTAAGTTAAAAAAATTACAATAATAAAATATTAGGACATTATCAATATTGTTTTTAAATTATCACTAAATTAACCAAATGTTATTTGTGCATAATTACTGTTTCAAAATGTATTGCAAATAATATAAACAATATGATTCTGCAGAGGACAAATAAAGCAGGTGTAAGTCACATAAGAACCTTTATATATAAAGATGGTGAACACAATGTCAACACTTGAAAATTTCCTCTGACTAACCCTTTAGGAATTAACAGACAAAATAAATAAATATTGTGATGTATATTTATGATCACACCTTTAAAGTCCTATTACACAATGTGTTATTATATAAAACTGGAATTACTTAATTGTAAATAAGATAATTAAATTATTTTTCAGTCTTTTTTTTTATGATTTTAAGTACTATTATTTCCTATAGATTATCAGTATCAGATGGAGCAACAAATGATGGTCACTCAGAACTAGGGAGTGAAGGTGAAGCATGTCCATTTAGTAAGGATCCATCTGGCCGCTATGTAGTGCTGTACACATTCACAGCAAGAGATGAAAATGATGTAGATGTTGAGAGGGGAGAATTTGTTACAGGTATGTCATTAGTATTTATGTATAAAAATTTTACATTTTATAATAAAATTCTTTGTAGTCCAAACAATATTCCATTTTTTATGTTACTGAAATCAAGATTTATTCAGAAAATTATACAATAGAATTAATAAGAAATTTACAATAATAAGTATCATTAACCATATTATAAAAAGTTTATTCTTGCACATTGAAATAAAGCAATATATTAGCTAAAGTTGAGAAAATGCCATACCGCATTTAGTATTATTAATAAATAACTAGTCTTCAATGCCTGGAGAATATTCTCAAATCACTTAAAAAATTTACAACTAATCATTTTCTTGTTTTTCAGTACTCAACAGAGAAGATCCAGATTGGTACTGGATAGTGAGGAGTGATGGCCAGGAAGGATTCATACCATCTGGTTTTGTTTATCCTGCAGTAGTACAAAGTTAGTATTATATAAAATAAATATAATTTTATGTGAAAATTCGAATTCAAAAGCTGACTCTAGAACTCTTATGATTAGTTCTAGAGCAATATTTAATATCTATTTATCGTTTTTTTTTTATTGGTCCTTTAAAAATAAGACAAAATATATATTCGACATTAATACATATTTAAATTAATTCTACAAACTTCTTTTTATTCTATTCCAGTTATATGTTCATTTTATAGTATTATTTATTTACTGCATAAATATATGTAAATATGGAGAGGGAGACTTTGTACAAAAGTCGATTGCTTCTGTCCTATTCATGTTTCAACCATGAAGCAGTTGTGTTTGCATGGCTGTGTTTCAGTTTGAAGGGTAGGATATGGCGTGAATTTACAGGGTACAGAGGAATAACACCTGAGTCCTCAGGAATAGCAACGCATGGGGGGTATCATAGGCGAAACAGTATACTCTTTTGTCCATGGTACTGCTCATATCTATAGGCGACGGTTACCACTTTCCATCAGGTGGGCAGTTAGCTTGTTTGCCATTCTAACTTGTATAAAAAAAAAAAATTGTATAGTGCTATAATTGGCATAATTATTATTGTTTTATTCACTGTCTACAATCCTATTATAGCAACTCAACAAGACAACACGCAACAAATACATTCTCCGCCGGCATCAAACCCCAATAATACGATGTTGACAACCAATAGCAGTTTGAACACGACAGTGCAGCAAGACAGTGACGGGCGGTATCATGGAACTGAGCTAGTCATGCTTTATGATTATAAGGTATTTATCTACTTTTATACAACTTGAATACTACGACTAGACATAAAATGATTCTCTATTCATCAAATATTAATTACAATAGAGAGCTAAACAATAAACTTCTTTTTTACGTCAATCTTATTTCTTATTCGTAACAACATCGTGCATCGTGCGTGTTTTTATTTACAAGTAAATTGTATTTCAGGCGCAAGCCCCAGATGATCTATCAGTTAAAAGGGGCGAATGGGTGTATGCAGACTTAACACAGCAGACAGTTGAAGGCTGGCTATGGGCCCATGCACCAAAGTCACGGCGCTCTGGTTTCATACCGACAGCTTACGCACGTGCGCCCCACACCACGTCTCTCTGACCTACATTTACTTGAAACTATAGAAAAACATGAAAATTAACCCATTGATAATTTCATTATAGACTAACCTTTTAAACAATAACGAAACATGACAAGCATATGATCCAAATGATGGTAAACGCTCATCACAGCTCATGAACGCTTACTTACGACACTAGAGACATCTCTCTTGTGTTGTCGACCCTTGTGACTAATAAATCTTGACTAATAGACCATGATATCTAATAAAGCCACAAAAAGAAGCAAAAATGCCATAAAAAATTACTGGTCATAAGTATCTTGTATGGACTTATATGATAAATAATTATAAACATTTATTAATAATTAAATATTTTTGTGATTGATCATATTTCAACTTCCTTTTAAACTACAACACAGGATGCAAAATAGCTATTCTGTAACATTCAGATGAGACAGAAGCCTGCATGTTTTTATTTATTCCATCTTTACCCATGTAAACGACTTTATGATGTCTTCCTCTAGTTAATAACTAAACTGTCACAAAAATGAATACATCATGATGGTTTAATTAGTTGCTGTGTTGATTTGTGCTACTGGAAATAGCAAACAGTGAGTGGCAAACGCAATAAAATATAGTGAAATAGTAGTCACGATACATATTTTAAACTTTAATCTTATTTAAATATAAAATAAATTTATTTTGCCATGATGTTGTATGTTAATGCAGAACATTTCCAATTTGTATTAAACTAAGAATTTAAAATGCCTTTCTTAGCCTTTAGATTTAATTATGTACATTGAACAAAATTGTCTTCCGTAAATAATATCATAAGAATAAAAAATCTGCGTAGAAGTGACACTCGTGTACTTTGTGAGTACACCGATGCCGACAAAACATACCCCGCTTCGCCTCACTCAATGGGTTGTCACAGTTTAGACACATTTTATACATTGCTTTGTCATACATAAATAATAAAAATGTATCTGTATCAGATTAAAAAAATTGAAAAAATTATTCATAAATGGCAATCTTATATAAACAAACGTAAAGTAGGACAACCCACTAACGGTAGAAGTCAACAAAGATACTTAACATTTATAAGTTTCAATGGAGTTCTTACGGTCAATGCAATAAATTATTAATAATTAAATTAAAAGAGAGTATATATAAATAGTAACTAATATTATTATTATTTTTTTACTGTCAAAGGATTCCGCAACTAATCACAATGTCATCTAATCGAAAGTGATGATGTGATCAATGATGAATCTTGCGGGCCCACGAATAGCCTATTCAAATTTGCCTTAAATTGACTATTGTTAGATTATATGAAGCAGAAGAAAAAAGCAGGATGAGAATTTCACACCTTAGTGTGTCTTTAAAAGACCAATAAATGTGATGAAGGAAAACAAAATGCTTATAAATGGTATGTCTACGATATAAGGGTAGAGACTCAAACCACATCCGATGCCGAAAGGTTGATGAAGAAACCAGATCATGCAGTTCTTGAGCACATTTCAAAATGTATCCTATATCGCGCAATTCTGCGGCTAAATAGTGTATAAAAAATATTAAATTGAATTTTGTGAAATTATGCACATCTTTTACGGCTACTAAATATATATATATATATATATATTAATCATCAACGTAGATTAATATAAGATGGTAAAATTAAAACAAAGCGCCATCTTGTAGATTACGATTAAACATGTTCTCTGAAGTCTGAGTGACACGACCGCACTTATTAAAGGAAAGGAATTATAGTTTCAAAAATTTCCCTTGTTCTTAGTTTAGTTCTCAAGACAGCCAAGAGGCGAACGCGGTATTAAGACGAATTGCCAAAAGTGTCTCTTCTACCTAGTTCTTATTCATATAGTGCTACAAATTTTTTCATATTTCAATTTGTATTAGATATTATAACAGTATTTATGTAAATTATCCGTCCAAATTTGACTGATTTTGACATTACGCTTTTTATAACTATGACAATGTTTTTTATTAGATTTTAAGATTTGATTTTAAAAAGGTAATTCTTAAAAATAAATGTTATACAATTAATTTGAAGTTTTATATCATTATCATTTAAGGTTCATTCGTATAAAAATTACTTCAATTTGTTATATGAATTTATTCATATACTAAATTTGATTATATATTTATTCATATACCAAAGCTGTTTATTGCAAAATCATTAAAATCAGTGCTGGTGACGAATCAGAGAAGATATCTTGTCTTAATCCATACAAATAATAGAACTTTTCAAATTTTTAAATAAAAGTAATCTTTCCAGTTTATATATATTTACTATATTATAATTACATATATAAAATTAATCCAAATCCATTAGAACATTTCTCTTCTTTTTCATAGCCTGTTTCTTAATTTGATCTTTTATTGTCCATTCTTCTAACTGCTGCTCTACTTTCTTGATATCTTGGTCGGATACAGTTACTGGAAGCTGTAATTCTATCTGCTCATTCTTTATGAACTTCAAGGCTTCTAGCTTTGACTTCAGGAATGGACCCTGTTGACTTTCTAATAAGTTTCTGTAATCTGACAATTTCTTATTACGAATATCCTCACAGTGCATCTCTGTAAGCTTCCTTAGCGACTCCTTTCTTGATAATTTATGGAAAGATCTGAAATCAAAGGATTTATACGTTACAAAAAAAAATTATACAATCTCTGCAATTATGTATGTCAAATTTATTATACTAAAATCTATTTTGAAATTGTGCTTTGTTAGATTTTATCTAATTATCTAATTATATTAATTTGTAAATAATTTGAAATGCTTAAAGGATATTTCTTTCTTTGAGCTTTGAGAACTTTATGAAGTTTGAAATTGCAGTAATTAATGTTAAAAACAAATGTGTATAATTCTGAATACATACTCGGGGTGGCCCTTGTATTCAATGTTGAGTTTTTCTAAGAGCCATTCAAATTTTCTATAATCATATTGGCGTAGATATTTAAGTAATTTTTTCCTTTTATCAATCAGTTCTTGCACTGTTTGCTGAAATGTTAAAAAAACAATTATTGCGTGTAAATTATAATACAAGAAACAATTATTATTATATCCTTTAATCCTGATGATGGTAACTCTAATATCATTATTAAGTCAATGAGATAAGGGCAAATCTTTAGTATATTAAAAAGAAAACATTTTTGTATGTTACATATGCTATATGTAACATACAAATTGTATATTACCTTTATAGTATTATATATATGTATATTACCTTTGCTTTCACATTTTTTGGATATTTTTCCATTGTTTCTTGTAAACATCTGATGTGTCCTGTGAGCCTTGCAACTGAAATAGATATATTTAAAATTTATGCCCTTTATGAAAGATTTATTAGTGTGATTTGACAGGTTATATTAGCTATATGGGTTTCCATATGTGGACAGAGATCTCCACTTAGTGGATGCCTGCTAATACACAGCATCACAAAGGCTGGCCCAGAAAGTGAAGGTGTGATGACCTAGACACATTTAAAAGGGACTGGTTTGAGGTGGTCTTTGCCCAGCAGTAGAAGATCATGGGTTAAAAATAGAATGTGAAAGAATGTCTATTTTATGTTATGAAATAACACAAAATAAATTTTTAACATATAAACACAAAAACAAATACTAATAATATTTTCAACAATTTTATTTAATAAGACTGAGAATTATTAATAAGCAAATAGCTCAACTGATAAAGGTTGTATCTATTTTATATGTATATACTAAACATTAATAAATCAAGATGTATAATATTATAAATGTAAACTTGGGGCCTAAACTACCCGACCATTTTTCATTAAAGTTTGTATAGACAAAATATTTAGGATGCAAAAAGACATAGAATGTGAATGTGAATGGGCCACAGCCTCACATTCCAGGATTACATAAGCAGCTGTTTCTTCGGCATCGAAACAGCCTCAACATAGAGGGCTATCTATGGCTCCTATTGTGTATACATGTTTGTTTAATGGACAATGGCCTGTTATTGTCCCTATCATTATTTTGAGGTTTTTTCTATCTAAATGTAATAAACATTTTGATAGTCGTTGATTCAACATAGGTATGGCCAATTTTGATTGTCTGCAATCAGTAGCCTGTATCCATCTTTGGTTGGATGCAAAAGGACATAGAAAACTATTTATCCCTGGAATCAATATATCTCAGTCATATGGTTTAAAACTAGTTACAAAATATTGAACTATCAGAAAGAATCTTACTTCTAGTCTCAGCTGTGTTCTCATCATAATTGTGTCTTCTGACTCTGTCAATCAATTCTTTTGTTACCAAAGCATTGTATTCTTTTTGGCCTAAATGAGCTACAGAAAATATTTTTTTGACTGCCTCTGGAGCACTGTGAATACAAAAAATATGTATATTATGAACAATACTATAAATCATGTAATAATACATAAAACTACCAACATTAGTAGCAGGAACAAGAATTGTTGATGATAAATCAATACTGATAAAATAACTATAATCTCCATTTTTAAATTATTTATCTGAGCTTATTGAGAAATATTTTATGAGTTTCAAATTCAAATAAATCCATTAGGATTAGTTAAACCAAAATATCGAGATTTATTTTGTACTTTTTATTTAATTAAATCAGAATAATGTAAATGTACAAACTCTAGTCTAAAATTTTCAAAATTAGTGTTCATATCTTGGTCTTGTTGATGTACTCATATCATTATACACAATAATTTAAATAGATTTTAGACACTATAATTTAAATAGATGACTATCCTAAAATCAAGGCCCAATTTTAAATAATAAATCTTCAAAAAGTACTATTATGCTTATTATTGTAATATAGGCAAATGAGTGTATAACCTATTTTCATTTCTATTTTTATGAGATATTCATTTTGGGTTTCGCTTGTACATATTCATGTACTTACTCTTTTATTTCATCGCTTAGAGCGTAGTCCTTTCCTAGAGCAGTCGGGGGAATCTCCGGCATGCTCTCTAGATCGCCAGATCTTTCAGGTTTGTAAGCTGGCACATAAGGAGGTCGAACCCATTTTAATTTAACTTGGTGTTTTATACCCCGATTTTGTATGAAAATAGTTGAAAAACGCCGTAACATGATGATTGAAATATTTTTTTAAATCGGAAAAAATTTAAAATGTTTTACGTAAACACGAGCAAATCTTAGAATTTAATTTGACATTATGATTGACCGCCTGACATTATGTCAATGTGGATTTGTCAGTCAACTTACACCAGTATTGCCAAATGTTTATATTTCACAAAATTTCTCATACGTTATTTTCGTTTTCTTAATTTAGCTCCTAATAAAAACTTTTGAATCGTATTTTGTTCTGTTTACGACCAGTACAATTTGCTACTCACTTTATAAATTACGACCTTAATAGAGGTTTAACACACTACCTTATCTTCCAATGGTTGTAATGGGTTTGATACCGAGTAACACATTTGTATTATTGATGATTGTATGTTGACGTATCATCGTTTCTTCTATTTATCTTAATCGTCTAGAAGTATCTATACGTTATACTGTATTTACTTTTTTTTAATGGATGATAATGGAATGGTAACCCTACCCGCGCTATCGGTATACACCGGCGGGGCACCAATGAAGGATGATAGGTGAGTATGAATCAGGTTAGTTAGCCCATCGTGACGAATTCAACAAGAATTGTGCACGATGATTTCCAGGGGGAACCACGTGGAGGTCGACCTAATAAGGCATATTGCTAATAATGGGGCTGTCAAACTCCATTGCTAACAATCCCTTTCCCCCTACTGTATTTGCTTGGGACTAGAAAACACTATCCTGAATCCAGAGACTATATTACACTTATTAATGTCACATACTGAGCCAAAACACAAATCTGTTCGTATAATATAGATTATTTCAGCCGTTAGCTATCCACTGCTGAACATAAGCCTCCTATAAGGACAGTTGCCAATAGTTACCACGCTTGGCAAGCGGGTTGGCAACCGCAGTTAGGCTTCTAGAGATGTTTTATGAGAAACGCTGCTGCCTATCCCTCGCCTTCCTTTGTCGACTCTTACGACAACTACAGGTAAGGAAGGGGTGGCCTATTCTACGCCGAGACCACGCAGCAAATATAGAGAAAGAAAGCTAATATAGTTATTTGTACATATTTTCTGTGCCTACCTAATTAAAACTCAGATTCAGTAGATCTGCAGTAACCATTCGTGTATAGAACATGTAAGATAAAATGAAATAATTTACACTAAAACCGAACATTCACTTTATTTATTGCTTCCAGAGTACCAAACCTCAAAATTTACAAAATTTTATAAGCAATATTTTGTACTAAATGTACCACTCAACTTAACTATATATACTGTCTAATTAAATACACCATGCAATTTTATATAAACCGAAAAAAAACAACAACAAATAAACAATAAAAATTTTAAAACAATCCTTAGCTTCACACATTTTCTTGCTACAAATAAATTAAAACAAATTACTTGATTGAATAATTGGATTATATTTACTAACTATAAATTTATTTAAATGGTGCACATTTCAAAATGTAATGTGAAACTACAAATGAAATAAATTGTGCAAATTATTATTATTAAATGTAGTCAATAAAATCCACATAGGTTGACATAAGAAAATATTATGACTCAAATGACCTATTTATATTTATAAACCATTAGAAAAAGACATATTCCAGATGTATGTGCATAGGTACTGCTTTATATTTGAAATATTTAATATTTATAACGTTTACACCTACATTTGTAATATATATAGGAATACGAACTTATTATTGCATCCTGATAAAACTCGGCTGACACCTTCCGGTCCGGATAGATTAATACATAATAAGTATTGTTGAGAGAATTCTGGCAAGTCCTGTTGCATGGCTGCAATTCAAACTGTAAATTTTAACTTCTTGACCCAAGAATATATATTAGTTAAACTATGTATATGGAGTAAATTATAATAGTGATCCGTCGAAAAATATCTTATGTGTAGATAAGATACGATCAAAGCGGTCGATAGCTTTGTGTATGATAGGCATGGGCAAACTCATGTACACAGGTAACATAATAGCTCCAATACTGAAAGTTCAGATAATGTTATTACATGTCGTAAGCTAGCCATAATCGGCATATACTATACCTACATTCAATGGCAGAGACAAGGATAAATAACAGTGAAGGCGAATAATTCCGTCGTACGGAACACTGAGATCACTGAGAAACGTTTTCTTACTTTGCTCTCAACAAACTGACTTTCTGAAACTAGTCTAGAGTAGTTATATATAGTAGAGGTGTTAAACTGGTTTCCAATTTTGCCCGGTAAGAATCTAATCGAACCCAAAGATGTACCTTGATAAATAAAGTCCACTCTATTTAGAATTTAATACAATCACTGTAATTTAACAATAGCTACAATATAAAATATCAAAAGCTCGTAGAATCATGGAATGTTCAATCACAAAAAAATTATATAGTTCCGAAATAGAGACATAAAAAATTATATTTAAAGCCTTAGGCATAATGAAATATTTTAAATTCTGAATTCCAAATAGAATGTTATATTGTTAAGCATTATACATACATTCAAATAAACGCACTGAACTATTATGATCAACATTGTGGTCATTGCTTTGAGATAGTCATAAATAATCTAAAAATCGATTATATAATCAGTAGTATCGATTAAGTTAATAATCGTTTATTAGATTACTATTACAGAGCTATTCAGGAATGCATATCATTGATATACTAATGAAACTGAATCACTCCTATTAATAAAAACTTTATTTAATACTGGCTACTTATTTAAAATGTTTACTTTTCCCTAAATATTCTATTATGTCTTTTAGTATCTTACCAACCAAGTTAACATGACACAAATTATAAGTATTGTGTCAAATTACACGATATACCTTAAATATTGTAACAACTACACAATTGTAATCTTTTTTTTTTCTATTTCACATTTTAAATAAAATGCTCAGTATAATTTGTAACAATTTTGAATTTTTTTTTTACCGAAAAAAACAATGTGTATAATAAATAAATTGAAAGAATAAAGAGGTTGTCTAAATTATGTATTACTTTTAGATTTAATTTTAAATGAGTAATTTCGGTAAAAAAGAATTATACCAAAAACGTTACATATTATTCTAGTAAAACAAAAAAGTTTAAATACCAAAACTTTCCAAACAAACAATCAAAACTAGGTTAGATTGAGAAGTCATAATATTGGGGGATGTTAGGAACAGCACCAAAGAAATTAATTTATATAATTATATTTGGAATAAATCACAATTATTAAATATTTAAATAATTCGTATAAATGATCTTACATTACTTAAACAATTTTTTTTACTGATGCACCATAAAAATTGTTTTGGTAAGGACACTATAGAAAAAAACAAATGCCTCTACACTAGACCCAAATCGATGGATGTCTCTTGTGCCTTGTCAAACACATGATAATAGTGCATGCATAATTTAATAAGGATCATAATAAATATTAATGATTAGTTTTAGAGCTTCAATATAGACGAAAATGAATGAACAGAAGTAAATAATAGTAAAAAAAGTGAATAATATATTAAAAAATTAAATACAAAATCCTTTGTATTTTATTGCGATTATAATCTTTATAATGATTTTTTTTTATAATCTAATCATATTTTTAGTAGCATATACCAATAATTGTTAATATTGTACTGACAATTACAAGGAATAATGATAGAAATTTAGAACTAATTTATTATGATCCTTAGAATACTCTATATTATAAATAGGTGCGCACTAAATACAAATGATAATTATTATAGTGTCCGATATTATATGTGCTCAGTATATCCACATTTTTTTTACAGTTCCTTAATTTATAACTAATATTTAATATCACTGTCCCTTCACTCTATGCCCTAATTCTGACAAGTGACAGTTAACTATTGGGGTTTCAAATTATGCCATTGTAACACTAATTACAGATTAATTTGACTTACTAAACATTGATTTAGTTATATTAGAATATATTATTTACAAATTTAGAATTCACATACAAACTTGTACATCCATGATAATTATAAATCATTAATAAGATTATTATTTCATACTATTAATTACGATTCTGATGTGATTTCACTAGGGCAGTAACATTTTCTGTTTCCACTTGGTGACAATATTTTAACTATTTTTAGTTATTAATATAGGAATGTGATATATACTCAGTATAGAAAAAAAATTAAACTAAAATATGACAAATATTATGTTAAGCTGTCACAAAGTTTCAATGGCCTAATTTGAAAACGCTTTAAAGTCTAGTTTTTTTTAATAATTTAGTCTACTTGCGAATAATTTAGTAGCTCAATCACTCACAACTAAATTAACTGATCTGTAAAAAACTTAGTTGAATAATTTTTTTTGTATACGTTATTTGCTACTCATTATTTGCTAAGCAGTTCAAACTAGGTAACAGTGTGTGTATAAAATGAACTGTACATAAATTACTTAATCCTTAATTCTTCTAATTATTTTTCATTCCCTGATATACAAAAATAACTCTAGATATACAATCACTGTGACATTGAAAATGGACTGGGAATTCAACAACATTTTACACTCATTTCTAACTAGTCGGTGATGTTCGCTGTGCAACATTGTTAAAATACCCTTATAAATTAAATAAGAATACGATATCAAGACATTAGGTTTAATTTTTTTTGGTAAGTACTTACTCGACTATAAACATTTTTGTTGAGAGCCAATTCTTTTAAGTAAGTGATTTGAATGTGAATCTTGAATTGTTTTTTGTATATCAATGGTTTCACTACAAAAGTGATATAACTGCAACAGAATTGCATTCTACTAAAACTACAATTTGTATACATATGTTTATTTAACCACTCTCCATTGTCTTTAGTTAATTTCTTAAGTAACTATCTATCTGTCTCTAACGATGGTAGTTATTTGACCAGTATATTGTAAAACTTTGGCCGATATAACTGACTTATTTCCAGAAGTTATGGTTAAGTCATATATCAAAATACTAATGTATCTTGTTGGATTGGTGGTTAACCTATTTCTTAGTTCATCTGAATAAAAAATGTTTGAAACTGCCATAATGTCACTGTGACAAATTACAACAAAGATAAATTTGTAATTAAATACAAGTTGGAATATTAACAGCATCTGCCTCTGGAGGTTTTATTTTGCTATATTAAAAACCAATTTTTTATACTGTATACGGAAAATATTAATGTTTGTCACCTTAAATTCTTATATTACTTTTCCACATAAATTTGTTAAAATGTTTGTAATTTATCCAGCAATAAAATGGCTATCAACGTTTCATTAATTTGGCACGACCATTAAGAGATTATAAAAAAATATACTGTGTTCACTACCGCATGTGCAGTATATTGGTACAAAGTTTGTTAATTCTTAATCCACCCAACAATAATGGGAATATTACAGAGGGTCTTAATTTAAATCCAAGGACCTTCAAATGAACACCCTCAATCAGGGCCTAATTTAACTATTTAGTTGTTCTGGGCAAAAAAATATGTTTACAGCCCTTTATAATAAATGACTATTGCCAACTTGATTGAACTCGTTTTACTACTCTGAGCAATTTATCCATACTGATGCCTATTTTTCGAGCAGTAATGGATTAGCATTAACATGATTAGATTATAACCATCATGACAGACAAACAAAAATGTCTGGTGACCCCTGTTTTAGAGATGATAGAATACTATAAAAAGTAGTCAAGAATTGTGTTGAAGTAATTACTAATTTCCTTTTTTTTTTAATGTATCAAGTATATTAGTTTAATTCGATATATGCAACCTAAGCTATTGTCTACAATAGCGCCAAATGCCAAACCCTATATCCCATTGAATTGTTTAATATTATTTTGTATATAAATACAGCCCTTAATATGAATTACCTGATAACGCCACAGATTGATTATATCCTAATATTGTATCGTGTTTATGATATTTATTTATTTACAATGACAAGACGTCATGAAAATTTAGGTTTGAATCTCAGACAAACAAAAAATATAGAAGCCTCAAAATCATGTTCGCCCATAAGCATACGAGTACACTTGTTCACAAACAAATTAACAATAACATCGTGCTTATTAAAATCTAATATGTTTTAAAATAAGTGTTACCAAAATTAAGCATAGACATTGCATTAAATTAGAAACAATATTAACTGTTATAAGTCCATTTTGTATCTACTTATCATTCTCATTATGAACTATTTTGACATAATTAAATATCCTAAGGTTGCTTTATGCTGTTCACTAGCTTATGAAAATATAACAAATGGCAACACTATCAAAACAATGGTTACGTATTTTAATGAAATTATTACATCTATACTTTTTGTTAGTCTGTGGCTTAAATGAACACTTTATTAGTTCTGATTTCGAATTGGACTAGTGCAAAACGATTGTATCCTGTTATTTAATATTATTTAATAGTATAACCACTAATTCATTCAAAATATACAGCCCTAATTAACATTATTGAGAACACACTTTATAACACCCAATGCAATTATTCTAAGCACTCGTTTTATTCCAATACTTTATTTATGTTAAATATCTACTCTTCACTTCACATTATTTACTAGTTATTTACAGATTATTGTTATAAAGGCAAGAGTTCATTGGTCGGGCGATAGCTGTTTATTTTATATAATCTTGCCGTCCTTTGAAAATTATAATGTGACTCACATTAAAGTTTGAGTATTTTTTGAAAATGTTATTGTACATATGTGACACATATGTATATTTAAATTTCTCATCTTATATTTTTACTGGTAACAAATGACATTAAAAAATCTATAAGGATCTATTAGTGCGATAAAATTAGAATAAGCACATATGTACGCCAACAGTCGCTAGATAACGTTACTTTGTTAGACCAAGATAATATAAGGTGTTAAAAAAACAATAACTTGGCAGAAAACTTATAATAATGACAAAATATTCTCCACTGATTAAGAGTGGAATGATAAACGAGAGTAATAAAATTAAATTGTATAGTCCTATTAATTGTACGTTTCGAAATCGCAAAGTTTGGACTTTGCGACTGATTACAAGCAATTTATTATCAAACATTATTGTTATTAATTTCGAATCTAGGTCACTTATGCGGATATTTATCTATGAATCAGCACTGTTATATTAACTAGTAGTTTGTTGTCTCATATTATTATAGGTATATTATAAAAAAAAAATATTGATATACAAAAAACCCAAGAGCACATTCTCATACAAAAGATACATTTAAAATCGAAGAACATTTCGGTATATTTGTCATTGTATTATGAATCATTAGAGATGAGTGTAAAATCTGATTAAATTTCTCTCTAGTTTCAATTAAATTTTTAGTATATTGTGTTATCTAGGTTCTTTTATATATCAATACGAAAACATTTTCAAGAAAAACTCAAAATTCATTTTGTGAATAGAATATTCGTCTTTTTAATCACTCCGTCGCCCTAAACAAAACATGTTAACCTATGAAATTAAATATCACGTATGGAACATACCAGAGGTATGTGCGAGCAGTGTCGCTGTATGAGTGTAGAGTAGAGACTTAAATTTGTGTGCGAGACTTGCGCTTGTGTACTACCGACGCCGGCGCGCTCGCTCCGTCGCTGCTCGTCGCCGTGCTGCAATTATAAATAATAATAATAATAAATACGTTTAAACCTTAGACTATATAAGATAGAGTGTCTCCATACAAATGCTTCGTGAAAAGCGGGTCAACTTTTTTTATACAATTTTGCGTGATAAAAAGTAATTAGTGATTCCTTTATAACTTCTATATTTATTTTGTTTTATAATTTTTGCATCTTTTTAATGCGTAAAAACTAATTTTATTTATTAAATATAGATACGTTAAGATACATTGAGTGCGTAAGTATATAGAACACATAGAAAAATGAGTCAGCTAATTTGACAATAAGCTGATTAAAAGTTGACCTGTTTTTGAAATTCGACGCTCTATCTATATAATCTAAGGTTTAAACATATTATGCAGTGCAATCTAGTCCCCAACTAAACAAAGCTTGTCCTTTGGGTACAAGAAAATTGGTATAAAGTATTTAAATATTTTTTGTTTGTGACTTCGTCTGCGTACCCAGGATTATGCTGATTGCCCGGGATAAAGCCTTCCAGCCAGCTTATGACCTTCACCCCAAATACTACATATATATCAAATTTTATGACGACTAAGTAAAAAACAAACTCACATTCATTTTTAACACATCCTACAAAAATGCTTACCGAGTCCACCAAAAGCATCGCCCGGCGGTCTCAACCCCTAATCCCTCTTCTTACTCTTCTTTTTACCAGACCTCTTGCTGTAATTCTGCGCAAGCGCATTAACTATTGACACCACGAAGTATACCACCATCGCTAAGACGAATTTCTCTAATAGGCTCGACAATACCGATCCTTGGTTTTCTGGCTGCGGTGAGGATGAATCGTTTTTGTGGAGTCGAGCCTTTTGGTTTCTGAGGAACTCTAAAAGTGGGGCTTCAAGTCTTGGTCCTATATACGGTATCCTCTCAACCCATGATAGAACCTGGCTGAAATTAAAAATAAACATGGTAAAAGAGAGGGACATATTTATTACATAGCTGAATTGTTCATGTTATTCTGCTAAACCTAGAAACCCGACATTCGGTGCAAGTATCTATGAAACAAAAGATTTTCTAAAAATTTCTATTCTATATTATATATCTAGATTTCTAAAAATGAGCGAAATGTGAAAATAAATATGCTCAAGACTATAATCTTAGATGACGATTTTTTTAAAGAATATTCAATTTTATGTAAACAATGTGAATTTGCCATGTGATCTCGGCACAGAATAGGCCACCGCTTTCTGTCCTGTAGATGTCGTAAGAAGCGACTAAGCGATCTTAATGGTCGAGGAATCGGCAGTAGCATCTTTCTTAAAACATCTCCAAAGCCTAACTGCGTGAGACTTTTGTCCAGTAGTGGACAGTTAATGGCTGATATAATAATGTGAATTTGACTCAACGTAAATTCACATAGAACCTAACGAGATTGTCACATTTCTAGTGCTTACAAAAAAAAAAAAAGGTTGACTCACCCAACCAATACTTCATTGAATGCAACAATCACGAACATTTTCTGTATGTGCATCTTTATAACGGCTTTACCCAATACTGTGGCACCAAAGAACGTCCAGAAAGGCACTAAAAAGTGTCCACAAGTGAGTCCAGCCAAGTCGAAGAGTGGGTTAGGTACAGAAGCACACGCTAGAATACCAGCGAATCCCACTCTTTGTACTAGTTTCTGCACCATTATTTTGGCCCTGGAAAGAATTCTATGATTAGAATTTTTTAACAAAGTTACTAGTACTATATCTGTTGCAATAGAACTTAAAGGAAATGTAAACAAACTTAATATGCACCCAATCATAAAATAGTCTGCTGATACCCAATAGACTCAAATTAAAAAACGAATAATTAATTGTTACGACTCGATACTAATTTCATTTAGAGAGTATTTCTGTAATATTTTCAACAAGACTTTGTTACCATTTCATTATCTATTAAATCAGACTATATAAGAAAGAGAGAGAGACCGCGCAATTATTTACTGTTAAATGATCCTACGAGTGATTTTAATAAAACCTGATACACTTCTATCATCGATCCTATCCTCCTTTTCTATCTCCATCTTTGACCGCAACATCATTGTTGCAGGCCCACGAATATCCTATTAACATTTGTCTTAAATACTAGATAATATATTGTTAAAAAACACACACATATTTGTAACAAGAGATGTTAATTTAAAATTTAAAATAGTTATGCAGAAAACAGTCAACTCTTGTGGACATCACAGGTAAGGTGGTTGTTATTGGTACAACTTGCTGCAATTAACGGTGGAGTTCATATCTCAATCATACCTGCCAGTTTTAGAATCATCATTGGCATTGAGTTCAGCGACCCCACCACCCGAAAGCCGCGCCGCTCGCGCCATGAAGTAGGGCGGCAGTTCACCTAAGGCTGTCCCAATGCCCCACATCATGGATTCCACGCGGACCTTTGACATTATATTCCATATTGATACCGCATTGTTGGGATCTATTTCTGCAGGGCAAATTATGCTGAAAACAAATATAACAATAGTTAGCGTTTTTTTTCATCTGAAAATCATAACACAGATTAAAAATAAAAATGAGAAATTGTCTATGTTATTTTTTAAACCTAGATTAAAAGCTACCATTAACAAATTTACATCCATGGCAACATTTATATCATAATTTATTATTCATAGAACTAGTCTATAGCGCTTTATTAACCACTTGTAGTGGAATAACATAAAAAAGGAGTATCATAAATGTAACAATATATTCTGTTATGTTCATGGTGCTTTATATTTGTCGGCGGTTACCACTTTCCTTCAGGTGAGGCATTCCAAATTGTGTAAAAAATATAATATATCAAAAAGCGACTTTGTTTGCTATTCTATATTTTAAAGTAATCTAATATACTGACTCATTAGGATAAGGCGGTTCAGGAAAGTTGAGCGCCCCGCACTCGTACGCCGCAAGTGTGACCCGCGCGATGTGCGGTCCGAGGTACAGCAGGAATGTATGAAGGCCTGTACCGAGGCCCACTGAGCTGCACACACCCAGCACCACCCACCAACCCCACCACGCCAGCGTTGATACCACCAGCTGAAAGTAAAAACAAAGGGAAGAAATTAGAGTTAGTATTACAATAAAATATTAAATAATTATTATAAGACAACATCATATATACAATATATATATATATAAATAATAATGGTACTAGAAGAGTACGCCACACCAAGATAATTGAAGTTTGCTTAGAGGGTATGAAGACATGATTGATTGTTTTATGATTACAAAACAATCGATTTTACGAATTAATTTTACAATTGTCTTGTGTTATTGTCTCAACCAATGTTAAATAAAATTATGTACATGGACTACACATATCTACGTAGTCTATTATAATTAGTAATTATTTTAAAGTACCAGAAAACAAAACAAAAATTTAAGAAAATATATTTTAAATTCTAAATAAACTTTTGGTTTTGCTTTAAAATTAAATGAGAGTCAGGTTTCGAATAATCATGAAACAATTCCTTTTGAGCCTGACACTGGCAGCTTTACTACCGAGAATTGTTTAAATACGAATTGGATGTTAGTATAGCAACACGCGTGTTGAACGCATGAGTAGGTCTACTGTCACAACATACAATTGTTATTGCTGAAGAATGGAACTGTTGCGTGACCGGTAGCAATAAAACCTGGGGTATTGTCGCGTATTCATGCGTATAATTCTATATTTGTGCGAGAGTTGTAATCATAGTGCTTACTGATCGTCAATGATACTAGCTTAAAAAAGAGATATTCACACCAGATTCTTTGTTAGTTAACTCCAAGTCTGTTGCGACCTATATAATTTTTTTTTCAACCACGAATTTGGCTATCAAGCATACAGCCCGTCTGATGGTAAACGGTTGCTGAAGTACATTGTACATAAGTATACCTGAATATTTTTTCCTCTGACGCGATCTCCCCTGTTGATGATATACATCCATCTACCTTACGGGTAATATAGATACCGATCCGATATCTATATATTGGGTTTCTTTAGACATTGATGGTAGAAAAAAAGTTATCACACATATCGCTCATATCGGTTGGATATTTATTTTCGAATATGTTAAATATGTCTGTTATCAATTTTTTTTTTGGATAACAGACTTTTGATATGTCCGCTATTGAACCAGTATTACAGAAATTGTAACTAAAATATATAGATAATGCTATATATATCCCTACTAGGCAAGCACTGCATTTTAAATCAGCAGTTATATCTCAACTTCTCTCTAAATTTAATAGTCATTAAACTCTAAATTTAATGACTATTACTATATTAAAATTACACCAACTGGTAATATAAAATTTACAGTTAATTCTGGAATATGGTCCACCCGAATAAAAAGTCTCATTCAATCCTTACAGACGTTTAAAGAACAACAAATCATTAATTTTACTTTACGTTACATTCAAGCAACATTTATGCGAATTATTGAGTATTACATGCATATAAACAACCATAAAATAAAATTTATTTATGGAAACGACTTGTAACTATTATAACACTTGTGTAACAATAAATATGTAGTACACATTAATTTAGAAGCACTATTTCACATCATCTATTCAAACCAGCAAATTTTAAATATTTCTTATTATAATGTTTAGTGATGTCTAACTGTGAACACTTTCCATAACGTATATGTAATACTTATTATTGGGGAGAATGGGATCATTGTAATGAGACTGAGAATCCCATTGCTAGAAATAACTTGGAAACTATCATGGTTAATTCATTCATCATCTCTGTTTTCATTTTCTATCACCCTTCACTGGTGCTCCACCAGCGTATAACGGTAGCGCAGGTGGAGCTGCCATTCCATTTTCATCCATCAAAAAAAAAAACTTATTACTTCAGCCATTAACTGTCCACTGCTGTACATAAGATTTCTCCATAAGGTAAGTTTTGCCAGTAATTGCCACGCTTGGCAGGCGGGTTGGCAACCGCAGTTAGGTTTTTAGAGATTTTTAATAGGGACGCTGTTGCTCTTTCCTCGCCTTTCCTTTGTCGCCTCTTACGACACCCACGGGAAAGGAAGGAGTGGCCCATTCTATGCCGGGGCACACACGGCGTATAATACTTATTATAATTAAAATACAAACCTGAACATAAAATTGGTGAGGCCCATTAATGTAATATGAAGCAACTGTGGCCACAGTCAACAGTACTATTGTCAATGCGAGTAATTTGTATGCTAATAATCTGGAAAGAAGAAGAGAGAAGTTTTGTACAAAAGTGAGTACTTGACCCAGTTCTGTTTTTGCCGCCAAGTAACTGTACTTGATAGTTATGTTTCGGTTTGAAGGGTCAGATATGGCCGTGAAATAGAATTTCACTTTTTTGTTCTTTCGAGGGCAAAGCAATAAACTGAGTTATGACCATTTTGTGTTGCTATAACTCACGCACGAATAGAAAAATTATATTAATTCTTTTATGTATTTTCCATTTTTATGGATATTTCTCTATGTCTGTTGCCATTTGTGTGGTGTTAGTAATGCAAGTAAATTATATACCTATCTATCTAAGTAGAATAGTGTATGTATATATACACTATTCTACTCAGCCTAACGCCTTAATCTTCAAGTTTTAAATGAATAACATGGTACCATGGTACCATAAACGTCATAAAATATTCTGTAGTAATATAGTGCTCTTTGTGTATACTTAAAGGCGATGGTTACCACTTTCCATCACGTGGGCCGTCAGCTTGTTTGTTATTCTAAGTTGCATAAAAAAAAGTAAAAAAAAAAAAATAGAAAGTTCTCAATTGGATAGTTTTTTTTTTTTTATGTTTGCTACTTCATATCTTCGTCAACTATGAATAGATTTGAATTTTTTTTTTTTTTTGTCTAAAAGGATATACATTCAGATTAGTGCTATAGAAATTTTATCCAAATCGATTAATCGATCGAAAATTAAGTAATTTAGTTTTAAATCAAAATAACTTATTTTTCCACAACTGAAGTCGTTTTTTTTTTGTGGAACACGATCTTAAATTTTCTTAGTAGAAATCTTAGTTACTTTTTTATTCAAAATTTAAGGTAAACAACATGATGGAAAGAAAAGTGATAACCGTGATCTATAGAGATGAACAGTACCATGAATATAAAAGAATACTCTGTGACTCGTTGTTATGCCCCTATACCCAATAATTTCATTACCTATCATATTCTCTTCTTCAAAACAAAACACAATCATACAAGCTGAGCTGCTTTACAGCAATAGCTCAAGTAGAAGAGAGGTACGCAAGCTGACGACTTTTATACAAAGTCTCCTTTCGGTAAAATTTTCTTATTATTCCACTTACCTTTGTACACCAGTAGTAATGAGAATAAAAAGTTCCCTAAAGAAGTATTCAAGTGTGGTAAGCGGCCGCCTCCATAGTACTAAACTATCTGAATCCATTACTATATTTTTGTTCCTGCAACAAAAAAGTATAGTTCTATTTTCTTGATCATGAAAATCAAATAAAAAAAAAATCATTTTTTTTTTATATATTACATTTTAATAGACTAGCAGATACTTTTTACGTATCAGATACTTGTGAATTGATAAAGAGAAAAATACAGATCCAAGGATCATACTATGGATTGAAACATAAAAAAATATATATATAATCTCCACCTATTTATCCCACTGTAGATACTAGTGAATAGAGGCGTTATTTTTAGTCTAAAAATATTAGTATTTAATAGAATTGCTCCACATATATTATGTATATACATATTTATGGAGAAAAAACACATGTGACATAGTTTGAGCAGATCATTAGCCGCCAAAGCCACTGAACTGACTACTTTCACAACATTTATATCTGTCATTATCACAAAAGACATTTATCATAATACTAGATACTGCCCGTGAGTTTATTCGTGTCGAATTTGAAAGACTTACGGTTCTGTACAAAATAGCCTGAGAGGAAAACTTCCCAAAACTTCAAACCAATAAATACTATGAGAGGCAAAATGTTAAATTTTAATTTCACAGATAGCTAGTACATGCATATATGCATTTATTATAACAATGGCTGTTTTGTAGGATTTTGAGTAACACAGTTTATTTTTCTTTGCGGCAACTACATTTATCAAATTTACAGCTACATCAATTATAATCTTGCCCTCCATGTTTCGACGTCATCCAAACAAAGCGCGTGTCACGCGTTTATTTCCCTTTCCGCATTCTATCTTATGCATATATATTATTAGACTGCCCGAAGATAACATAGTAATATTCATAATAACCAGAAGATATGTGATAAGTAATGAAGTTGATATAATAATTGGCACAATGCAGCTTGTCATTATATATAAATTGCCCAGGCATTATATAAAAATTCCTCATTAATCACTTGATTCACAACATAAACATTAAATAAAGAGATGGACGTAATCCTACAGCACTATCTAATCACAAACTAATGGTAAAGATTATTAATTAGTAAAGGAATGTCATTAAGTTCCTATGTTTATTTATTTGCAAGGAAGGTTTGCATTTAATCTTGCCTCACTATTTTAAAAACTTTAAACACTCAAAATTTTAAAATTATTAATATATTTTTTTACCTTGTCTCCTTGGGATGTGGGTGATGGAGCCCGTTGCGCGTGCGCTGGTCAGTGTCAGCTTGCACAGCGGCCGCCAGCTTGTAGTACCCAAGGCGGGCGAGCTATAGGACAATATGAAAACACACTGCATTTAGAAATATTATTAAAATATCAAAATCATATATGTTAATCATGTATGTAATGTTTCATCGCTTTTTTAAGAGTGCATAAATGCAACAATTTCAATTATAGTGCAGAATTGTGCGAAAAAACCAGCGCGATGAAAATTCGCCTTACCACAAAAATAATTTAAAACACTACTTAACTAAACAGTGTTTATCAAATCTCCAAACGGTTACATTTAGTTAGTGTAATAATGTTTTTTTTTTTATAATTTTATGAGCTAAAGACTATAAATTATTATAAAAAAAATATTACTTTAAATACCATTATTTTATTTTGAATGTTGGTAGTAGAAAATCAGTTTTCTATTGTTAAATTTATAAACAGATGTTAGACAGACTTTTTTTAGTAAAACGTGTAAAATGTAAATTATGATGTTCAATATATTGAACACCTGTCTATCGCAAATTTAATTTTTTTGTGGTAAGACGACTATTGTTTACAAAGTAATCAAAAATTGCCCTTACGAGATCAAAGTTAAGACAATAAATTCACAGATAGTCACTAATACATTATTTTTACTTAGTAAAATATTACAAAGTAATTTTTGAAGTCTGTATTCAAATCAGGTTAATCAAGTAGATACCTATTAATCTTGTACAAGTTTTTATATGCACAAAAAAAAAATTTATAGTTTAATTTTAATCTTTCAAAGAAAAATACACGAAACATTTCTTCTTCATATAATTTTATTTCACATTTTGAATAATTACTCGATATCACGATGACTATAAATAATGTCATCCGTGACACTAGAATTAACATATAAATCTATTTCAATTATAAATTGTATTCCATATTAGTATAAGTGATAAATGTTATCATATGTTACACGCATTATGCCAGTAGTCCATTTATCACAACGTTAGAAACTATATACAGTGAAATTGAAGGCTATTTCGTTCGTAGCTATATCAAGCAAACGTTCGATAGAGGTAGTCGATGAAAATCAGACGGTACCTAAATAGGATATTATACTTCCTACAAAAAAGAGCTATTGATCGAAGAGTTAAGTAATAATTAGACGGTACTAATATCTCGTTAGTATTCCAAAGTAATAGATGTTAAATGGGGCATAATCTCTCTTACTCTCTCTCTCTGTTTAGGGTAACAGTTGACTGGTAGAAAATACCATCAGACATTAAGTCCGCCCTGTGGACATATTTTACTGTGTGCAGAACTATAAATAAATAATCCTACAAAAACGAGCTATCGATCGATGAGGTAGCTCGGTGAAAACCGGACGGTACCAACATCGAGCTAATTCGAAAGAGGTAGTCGATGCGATAAATGAATATAAGTGCCTACATAAATGAGCTGTATTGATCGAAGAGGTGAAAACCGGATGGTATAAATAACGAGTTAATATTCTTAGGAAATAACTGATGAAAATATAATAAATTACATCTAAAATTATCAACTCTTGTAACACATTGACCTTGTGACCATGACATTGTAGATCGCAGTAGCTACTAGTGTAAAACTTTACAATATTTCTTATTGTATATTTATCGTGTTTATATTATTTTTTAATACATTGTACGTAATTTTAGTCGTCGATGTTCATACACGATAATCTCCAAAACTACTCTAGCGATATTAAGGATTTTTATCAAATATGTATTATTTGTTCCAGCTTAAGAGATGGAATAGTTTTATCGCCATAATAAAAATGGAACGGTGGGGTACAAAACAGCATTAGCAGTATCAGCTAATTGTAAATAAAGAATTAATCATGTACACACAAGAAGGGTTTAAGCACACAAAATAAATCCTACGACAAAAGACATTTATTTAGATACCTAAATAACGGAAAATAGATAATTTTGATAAGAAGTCTCTTATCAAGTTAACTACAGTTTTCAATTCATACACATGTATTATCCAGAACATATTTTTATAAATATTGCATTGTTATATATTATTAGTTACTAAGATGACACATAAAATTATAATAACCATTTTTTATTTTCCATTTTTTTGTATTATGTTTAGCATATTTCACACAGACAATGTAGTCTCTGTAATGAGTGGATAATTATTTTTTTAGGTTTTATTCGATTTGGTTGTTAAGAACTTAACTTCAGGGACAGATTAAAAACTACAACCGTATCGAACCTAAAACTTCCTTTACGCAAAACAACAATACATTTTACACTACCGATAATATTAAATAATTCACTTGATTATGAAATAGACAATTAAATAAAATATATTTTTTCAATAATACTTATGTTACTCACATAAAACACTGCACATAAATCAAGTACACGACATTTAAAACAGTTATGTTGCAAATATTAATATCGACGATGTGCGCGTGAGTGTGAGTTAAAGTTTATTTTAATACTGAGTGAAATTATTATGCCATCACGCCACCACAAAATTTCACTTTCGAGCTCTCACTCGCTATCAGTTGAGGTCGGTCCGGCGGTGTTGCCGAGGTGAAAATGAAAGTGAGATTGATCTACCTAGTCACTAATGCGAATTATGTAATATTGTGTTTATCCGACAACCAAAGAAAAGAGCGTATTCTTTTGAAGTGTATGTTTCAATCCTAAGTGCACGGTGTAATCTAATAATTATTTTGTGCACATTAATAAGTGAGGTAACGTTAGTAGACAGTGTTTTGTGTATACTTTGTTTCAATGGAACTTAATAGCATAAGATTAATAGTAGTGCAGATAAAAAAAATCAATGAATTAATCGAATTGTTGAATAATAAACTTCATAAGTCATAATATATTGTAATTATTTATGTTCGTTTTGCTACTCGCGACACAATCGTGAATCGCTGTTATGAATAAGGGCTCTTATTGAAATCGAAATTAGTTGGGCATCCTGCAATTTAAAACGCGAATAAAGCCGACCTTTACTGATTACAACAATTAAATAATGAAATATTGACATCAAATTAAATTTGATGACAAAATTTCAACAAAATGTACAAGTTACCTTTCAAACCCCCTTGTAAATAATAATGCAAAATTATTTTGGTCATTTTAATATACATATCAACTTTGATATATATATCAAAGTTGATATGTATATTAATTATATAAGTATATATATATATATATTAAATCATAAAAAAGTCTATATGAACATTAACGTTATATACTAGGTTATACCTATATAAATAACGTTAATATTCAGGTATAAGAAGTCAATATTTAAAAAACAACACCTCGTCAAAGTGCACATATTAAAGGAGCAAAACGTATTCTAAATCTATTCACTAAAGCCCAAATTTTAAATGTCTCTCAAGACAACCTTTAAAACATCATTAAATACTAAGATAGGCCATAATTTCATAGCAAAATATGAACAGTTTCAGTCGCGCGTGTTGCTTCACGTAATGTATTATTTTGGTCTAAGATACAAGAACATTATTAGAAGTTTACTTAAAACCAAAGTTCAGTAACTAAGTTCAGGGTAAACCAAGAGCGTAAACAGTGTTACAATTTCATTTTCAATTACTAAAAGAACTGCTTCCTTTGGAATATCATCAGTTCTTTAAAAGTACATAAACCCAGTATTAGAAAAAATATAATAGGTCCTATTTACGATATAGGTTATCAAAGTTTCACGACAGTTGGTAAATATTCAGAAGACGCTCGAATCGAAAAATTCACGTCAAATTATCTGATCTAAATTTAAATTAAGTAATCATTATGAATGAAATAAGAAAATACATTCTCGATTTTGTTCAAAACAATTAACAAATAGATTTAACAGTAGAATGATTGAAAAAAAAAAAAACCAATTAAACTGCACGTAAAGAAAAATGTACGTAAGTTTTTATTTATTTATGTATTAATGTTATATTATTATTAATGTACTTTTATTATTTATATATGTAGGTATATAGAGCTGTTTTTATTGTATTATATATTCAATTTTTACTGGGTATTATGTAGTTTATCTTTAATTGTACGGTTACTACCCTTATACATTCTACAGTTTTCTTTCAGCTTCTCAAAGGTTGACTGTAAGAGATCTCTTATAGGATAGGATAAGTCCGCCATTGTATATTAAATAATTTAATGTATTCAATGTGAATTATGTACAATAAAGATTTTACAACACAATACAATACAATTATATCGATTTTATTCCAAAAACACCTTAGATCATGATAATGTCCTATTCCTGTCGCGTTCAATTATAGATTTGTAAAGTTTTAAATTCGTAGGTTTATGGTATTCGTAGATAAGGCATAAAATCATAAAATTGCATACCAAAATGCGTGTGATCGACACACGATATTAACAAAGAGTTTTTTTTTCATAAACAAAATCATTGTATGCGCAGCTGTCCTTTATAAATCCAGAGATTTCATGATATTCAAATGACAATATTTGAAAGCGTACAATGTATTTAAATTACATGTATGAAGCATCGCATGAGACTAGGTACATTAGCATAATGCCGATGATAGTAATCTTTATATATGTCACACAATAATTGATTGAATTGCTGATGAAGCGGTTCTGTGTGACACTTTTCATCCTGCTGTGGCTTACGGCCAATAAGTCCATAGAGATAATTTTGTGTCTTTCTGTAACACATTAAGGCGCATTTTCAATTACGATAATATAATAATTCTTTATGACTTGGAGACATTTTTCAAGCACATTGTATTAAATTTATTAGAGAACAAAATCAATGTCGTACTTATACTCTTGGTTTTAGAGTTTATTTTTGTAAAGAAGTTTGTTTATAAAAATAGCGGTAGAGGTGGCGTGATCATCGCATGCGCAGATTGGCCTGTATTCGGTAACTATAATAATTATAATATTTGATGATGGACGATAAACTGTGCCTAAATATAAATGTCTGCGATCATTTTACAATACTGGTCTGAATAATTCGTAATTGTTTCTAATCATACTGTAGGTAATTAGTTTAATAATTGCGATTATCAACGTAAATGCACACGATGCTGTTCTAATTATATAAATCATACTAAACAAAGGTTTGTGTGAATATTAGAAATTTGTATACTTTTAAAATTTAATAGTTACAATTCAGTAAGTTAATGTTATATATATAAAATCATAAAATTATTACAGTAATTGTTTGTATAAGCTAACGCCAGTGAAGTCGACAATTGTGAATTCAATCGAAAGAGACTTGCAAATAATACCTAGACGAAGTTAGGCCAGCTTGTTATAAAGGAATTAAAAGTAAAATATTGATCGTTTTGGGGTCACTTCTTAAAAAATTTTAAAGAAAATAAAAAAAGAGATAATCTGTTCATATACAAGTACTTATAGTAAATAAATAAGAAATATATTACTAGATATGTAAATCTGTTTTCGCTTTGTTTTACGAACGTTAAACTGGGAGCGATTATTTTAAAAGGCAGTTCATTCAACTTACGGGACAAAGAAGTTTCAGAGTTATGTGTACACGATACATTATTTTTGTTCGATATAAATGAGGTATTAGACGTAACGAAAAGTTTTTCACATTACAGAATTATGCAATAGTGCAATTTGCCGTGTGGTCCCGGCAAAGAATAGGCCACCTCTTCCTTTCCCGTGGGTGCCATAAGAAGGGACTATGGGAGGGCGAGGGATGGACAGCAGCGTCCCTCTTAAAACATCTCTAAAGCCTAACTGCGGTTGTCAATCTGCCTGCCGAGCGTAACAACTCTACGTACTAGCAAACTCCCCAAGGGGGAGGCTTATGTTCAACAAAGAACAGTTAAAGGCTGATATGATGATGACGATGACTTGTAAAATTGAACAACATTTCCCAAACCCCGCAGACTGGGTTCTATACAAGTATGAAAAAAAAAAAAACTTTTATAAAGAGAGGGAAATCTGCACATATTTTAAAAAGAGACAATGAGCTGGCTACTTAGTTCTAGAACTAGGAACTCTCCTCTTAAGAGTTATATGGCCTAAGAGGTTGCTGACCCTTCGAAACACATCATTCACAAATTTTGCGGATATTGTAATTTCAGTCTCATGTATCATAGACTGGCAAAGCAACTAGTTAAGAGCTATTATTTATACACTTTGCGGTACTGAAATACGAAATGAAAATTATTAGGTCTGGCTCTTCCTTTATATAGCTTTTTATTGTGTCAAAAACTGCCCAAATCAGTGATTTTTAATGAATGCACCTTATTCATCAAGAAATAACTCTTTTGAATTGGTTTAATCCAGTTCGATAAGTTATCCTTCTAAATATTTTCTAAGGGTTGTATTGCAACAGTGAAAAGTTCTGAGGTTATTCAAAAGAATCCAGTTTTCTACCTTCTAAAGTCACATCAGTGTACTACTTATGCATATACCCAAAAAATTATGAAATTTTCTGTGGTGTCTGTTAACAGAGTACTTAGAGCCAGGGTACTTTTTACTGAGTACATAAAATCACTGAAACAACATCACAAGTGATGCAATTTTTAAAATAAGTTATTCATACATAACCCATGTAAAGAATGTCACATGGAAGAGTGATGAAATTCAGAATAATTAAAAAGACCATGTGCTATCTGACGAAGAAGTATATAAGAATAGACTCTGTTCTCTGCATAACTCTGCCCTGAGGTAAAGATATTTAGAAATATATCACATTCAGAGTTCTATAGAAATAAAGAAAATAATTTATAATTATCATATAATAATGAATTTATGTATATGTAGTTCATTTCAAATAATTTCATACTTTTGTAGCTATTTTCTGTAAGTATCAATTTTTAACCTTAATCATATATTTTATAAACAATGTGCAAAGATGTAAATATCATACAGAGATTTAAAATAATTTCAGCATTATAAAAAAATGTTCACAAGTTGTATTGACAAAGGAGTCTAAAATATAAATTTAGAAGAATTACTGTTAAATTTTATAAATGGAAAAGCCAGTGACAAATATTGGAGTTCAAAGATTATAACTTTCCAACATGTTTCTATTTATTCAGTAGATATTACAATATGAACATGATTATTAACAAGGTTATACATTTTAGACAATATGACTAAAATAATAATAATAAACAGTGAAAATATCAGTAAATAATAAGCCAAATGTTTTATGTGCCAAGACAAGATTTCTGAGCCAGATTGACTAAGTGTCAGATGCCCAGTATTTTACAAGTTACTCCATTTTTTAAACAATAATACAGAAACCTGTAATTGAGAAGATATTATAATTTATTCTGTGAGGGAATAATTAAATCTCAAATAATTATCGAGGACAGGGTTGTCACATAACCAAATGTGCAATTTTTAAACACATGATTTAAAATGGTGCTGAGACTTTAATCAATTCTGTGACACTATTTTCCTACACTTTAAAACTAAAATTTTTATTTGATTAAACAAATTTATTATTTTATAAATCACAGAGAAGTAATTGTAAAGTAGCAGACTCATTTTTATCATTTTATGTACACTAATAATAATCTCATTGTACTATCAATCAGTAATTTTTATTTTAGTGATGGGAAAATTGTACTTCAAAATTTAAGCACTGTAAAATAATACCTTCATAAGAAATCTAAAACAGATTTTTTATTTTGCAAAAAAATTTAAAAATGGATATATAAATGTCAAATCCCAAACATTAAACATTACTTTAACAAATTTATAAATATAATAAAATTTTATTATTATTATTAAAATTCAATACTTATATTTTTTGAGAAGTGAGATGTAAGCATATACCATCCAAAATATAGGTATCAAGAAGTAGTAGATGGCTACCCTAAATTGCTGATATATAACAATAAATAAACTACTTGGTTGTTACTACTTATTAAAAACAGAGAAACTTGAAAAATATAGAGTATCTGGCAATCTAATCCTGTTGTGTTTACAGTTATTCCTTAATAATGTGATATAGTTTTGTCACACATAATAATATATATTATATTAATATGTAATAGATATTATATTAATATGTAATAGATATTACACTATATTGTGAATTCTTTTATATGCATAATCAGACTGTTAATTTACTTGAGAACTTTTTCAAATTGTGACAAAATTAAAATGCTAGAAGCAATTGAACTTTTATGAAAATATTTTATGATTGAAACTTAGAAAATTTAATAATTTATATGCAAAAAAAATATTAATTAAACAAATACTTCATAAAAACATTGTGTTATGCTACATAAAAAACTATAAATACTTGTAAAAATCTACTGTAGATATGGGAATAGTAAAAAAATATACCAATATTTCATAATATAAGCACAAGCAATCTACAAATAAAAAAAAATGCATCAATTATTTCATGTAATAAACATACTATTTACAAATATTAATAACTGATATTATTAACTTGATAAACAATATAAGTATTGCATAACGCAACTTCCTAAAAATAAAAAAAAATAAGCATAACAGTACAGGCGGGCAACAAAGGAAACAAAGCACAGTCACAAACGCAAACAGCTTTATACCAGCTCATTTTTGTTTCCAGTTGAACGCTGGCCCCTTTTCCTGCATTCCGCTCGAAGCTGTTCCTTATTCATTGCTGCCAAAGCTTCTGAGCTCAAATTTTGACGTGTTCTTCCATTTTCACTAACAGAATTCTGTCTTGGTATGGCAACTGATGTTGCCTGACTACGAGTACGTCTTGACCCTGCCATAATTGTATATTCTTCTTTTTCTCTATTGTTAGTGTTATTTTTTCTTTATTTTTCAATAATTTCAAGCTTCATGAAGCTCTTCAGAATTTAAATTTATTTATTTCCCATAGTATCTTCCATGCCTTGTAGATTGTACAAAATCAGTCAAATAAACATTTAAATATATAAAAAATTCATATAATAAATAATTATAGTACAATATAATACAACATAATTTGGCAGATATGTATAGATGATTAAACTTAATATAAATTGTAAGAAAAATAAAAACATTTCTACATGACACAGAGGTAGCTAAATGAAGATGAGAGCAACACAATAAACTTGTTGTTTGACATTTGGAATATACCATTCTTTGAAAGAAATTATTAAGTGTATATTAGGAATAATAACTTAAAATATTTCGTGTCTACTAGGACTAGAATTTAACAGATGTGTAAATTTATCATCACTAACGAAAATATTGATTATTGATGCTCATTGAAGTGTAACGTTAGGTTGTGTCAGTGAGATTATATGATCATATAAAGAATGTATATCAGCATATTCATAAAACAAAAAGCCTTTAACAGCCCCTAGTAAATAAAGCGATAATTATTTTACTGGAAAATTATAGGGGACAATCAGCATATTGATATGCAAGTTCTAACCTAACATAACAAATATGGATATAGCGAAAATATGTTCACTTACATTCGAGCAATATCCAAAACGCACACTGTTAACTTTAAGAGGCTGATATTTCTTCAAAAACTAGTTGGACACCTATTTATAAAATACATTCAACTTCCAACAAAGTAACTATAAAGAAAGATAAGTTGTACTGAAATATATTGCCAGTTGAAAACATTAAATTCTACTCCTTTAATATTTGAAAAATAATATAATAAAAATTACACAATGTAATTATGTTACGTTATTTAAGAATATTAAATTACATCTTGTAAATGTATTTGTAATATTCATGAATTTTAATAATGAATGATATTTAATATTTACATACATTTATCATAATTTCGTTTTAAAGAAATGTTTACATTTATGCAAATATAATTAGTAGAGACAGGAGACAGGCATGACAGATATGTATGTATGTAGGACGAAAGATACATCATCAATTGCAATTTTTTTCATTCATTGCAGGCTAGTGTATGGTAGGTTTTATCTGCATTTGGTAGGGTTATACCCGTAAAACATTTTCTATACGCTAACGATTTTATTTTACCAGACTAACATTCTACCAGAGGGAGATTTTGTATGAAAGTCGTTTGCTTGGGTACCACTGTTCCATTTGTGTTTCAACCGTAAAGCAGTTCTGTTTGCATTGCTGTGTTTCGGTTTAAAGGGTGGGATATGGCGTGAATTTATAGGGTACAAAGGAATAACATCTGAGTCCTCAGGAATGGCAACGCATAGGGGGTATCATGGGCGAAACAGTATACTCTATTATGTCCATGGTACTTCTCAAGTCTATAAGCGACGGTTACCACTTTCCATCAGGTGGGCCGTCAGCTTGTTTGCCATTCTAAGTTGTATAAAAAAAAGTAAGTAGGAATAACAAAATAAAAACTGTAAATCATATGGTTGCCTCCTTTCTTTATATGCAAATATAATTAGTAAAGGGAGGACGAAAAATACTCCAAGCCTGCTATGAATTGAGAAAACTAGCAACTGATGGTGTATCTTTTGGCCTCTTTTTACTAATTACATTTACATAAGAAGAAAGGAGATAACTATATGACTTATAGTTTTTATTTTATCATTCCTTCTATGTAATTCCTTGGTCTTGGTGTACTCTGTGACTAAAAAGATATAGTTTCTCTAATCTGTGAGTGTTCCGTGAAAACCGAATTTGATACTTATATTTACTTAATTGTCAAAAAGCTCTGCAGATTTTTGAAGAATTATAGTTTGTTTTTTTATTTCTTTAAATTAATTTTCATTATATAAGGATTATTATAATTTTTATAATATGTAGTTAGTGTTAGTTTTTATATATAATTGTATTTTTTTTTGTAGTGATAGTGTTTATTGCTGTAAATATACTTAAGTTACCTGTATTGGCTAGCATTTATGAACGCATCTATAGACTCTGGGGAGACAACGGCCAGTGGATACCCTTAAACCCCCTAAGGTATAGGTTGACTCTTCATCTACTGCCTTAAGTAGAACTTTGTTCAATTCTGGTAATATAGCACCTTAAGTTGTTCATGTACAAAAATGAAACATTCTAATGATAACACTACAATACATTCTATTACCATTGGTCTCTTTTTACACACTAGGATAGGATAAATAACATAGTTAACAGTAGCCTCAAAAGTATAAGATATAGATTATCTTTCTTTTTCAAATTTTAAAGATTGAAATTCATTTTTGATTAATTCTAGTTTAGTAAAACTATAATGCATTTATATCTTCTTTCCATATAACCCATATGGGAATTGTGTGGGGTATTCCTAAAGCTTGGACAGATGATGAAATAATTAAAAATATATTAGTAGCTATTGGATGTAGGAAAATTATAAAAACAATAAGAATAAAGTAAAATGCCGTTAATGAAGTACAACCATATTTTATTAATACTGAAAAGTTTGATATAACTTTTTGATGGAAAAATGTTATTGAAAAGTATGTATTAGATTTCATTAATGATAAATCTGTAGGTGATGAACTGCTATACCACTTAATTTGTCAATTAATAAATATTTAATAGGTATATGTAAGTAAATACCTATATAACAATATTTATGTTTACAGGCAATGCTTACTTTTTCCATTAAGCTGGTCATCAGCTTGTTTGCCTTTCTAAGTTGCATAAAAAACTTACATTAACTATAAATAACATTTTTCAGTGCATAATTAACCTACCTATCTTTTGAGACTGGATTCATACCTAATATACTAGACATTGAACATAATTTTTTAGAATGGAAGATGTCAGAAGATGACATAAATGATTATGTACCATCATTTCTAAATCCCAGAGTTGTAAAAAAGGAAGCAGCAAATATCAACCTTACGCAGGTATAGTTAGATAGGTATATTTTTGTATAGTCCATACAATTGTTGTTAATTTTTTTTAAAAGAGAAATAGTCTATGAGAGGAAACAATATGCTGTATTTTGGCATCTCTCTGTGATTATATATGGGCAGTGATAACATACCTATTGGAGGAAGAGGATTGTTAGTAATGGGAACTAACAGCCCCATACTAGCAATATATCCTGTTAGGTCGACCTTTTTGTGGATTCTTTGGAAACTATTATGGTTAATTCTTGATGAATTCGTCACAATAGGCCCGTTCTTTCGCTGATGCTTTGCCAGCATATACGGATACTGCAGGTTGGTTTACCATTAATTATCCATTAAAAATATTTGTGAGTAAATTAATTTGCCGCTTGTCTAAGGGGGCTAAAATTTTTTTAAAGCATCTATATTGGCAGTCGCAGAGTGTGATGTGGTTGTAGGTAGGGGCAAGGAATAGTTACCTGTTTTGAAAATTAAAAAAGAATAGACTTTTTTAAATTTATAAATCTTAACTAAGGTGTTATATAGAAAAAATACACCTCATGAAGGGAAAACAAATTACTTTTAGTTATGGTCTGTTTTGTGGGAATCATTTGTTGAGAATTTTTGCGACTTTATAACATAAATAATAATAACTCATGTTTTCATGTATGTAAAAGGGTGATAAACACTATCTAAGTAAATATGAATTATTTACTACTAATTATTATTTGTTTAGAATTCTGTGATCAGTCGCTGTTCCTTGTCATTGAAAAGGAATAAAGAATTATCAAAATGTATGACAAGATTTCACAACAAGGTAAAGAATTTTCATACTAATACTATAAATGAAAATTGATTTTATTAAATTATAAGCTATATAATTTCTAAGTATACAAGATATACAATGCTAATAAAAATGCATCAAAAGTGCCATAATTATGATTATGATACATTTAATATTGATGCATATAGATAGATACTTCGTAAAAACGGAGTCTTTATCCATATTGGTCATAGATTAAGATGAGAATCTACCCATGTTATAGGATTTTGGCCAAAAAGAACTCTAAATATTGTTATTTTAATGCTTATATATTGGACTTCTTGAAGGTGAAATAAAGAGCTCTGAATATCAACAATAATATAGCTTAATATAAAATTACTGAATTTTACATTTATACTACATATTACAATATTTATTACTTATATAATTGCAGTCTTTACCAAAGAACAAAGAAAATTCACAAAATTTACAAAATTTTATTGGATGTACAGTAGTAAGATCAGCTAAGAATTTGAATAGATGCAATAATGAAGATATTGAGAGTATTGAAGTTTCAGCTATTCAAGATTTGAATACTCTAAAAAATATCAGTGATTCAAGTAACGTAACTCTAGATATTGGCACACTGCTGTCAAATAATATTAATGAAAAAATAAATAATGAATCTCTTATCTCAGTTTCCTCAGCCACTGACTTAAAAGAATCTCAAACAAGGTCAGAAAGCAATACTACTGTACTTTATGAGTATAACAATCCTATTGTTAATGTATCATTTGGTGTAACAAACTGCAAATGTGTTGAAGTCAGTACAAATAATAGTAATATCAAGAGAATTGTGGTAACACATGACAATAATGACACTAAAGTTGATTGTGAAGTTATTGAAAATTCTCAATTATCTCTTGAAACTGATTTGGACGAAAATAAGATTGAAACTCTTTTACCTAGTCCACCGAAAAAGCTTGCCGTAACTGTCAACTTAGACATTAAAAAGAATATAATGTCACGTGACACAGAAGAGAACTCAAAAGTTCTTATTTTAAATACTGATGCCATTGAGAAACTGTCTCATGTCATTGTTCAACCACCAAATTACAAATTAGTGAAACGGAAAATTTTGGATCCCAGGAAATTTCTAAACAGTGTCAAAAAAAAACCTGTCTTAAGATCTACTATAAAGAATGGAAAAACTGTGAGCAAAGGTCATTTGAGATATAAACCAATTGAATCTTATTTCAATAAGGCAGATATTTTGAGAACAAATAAAATATCTGAAAGTAGAACTGCTACAATACCTTTTCATCGCATTGATATTGGTGACAGTTTAATTCGTAATGAAGCGCAAGACATGAGCAAGACTTTAGGTGACATTGACGTCGGTAAATTCGATCGAGGAAAGTCTTGCAAAAGCAAGAAGGATAATGAATCTCCAAGATCAGTTAGAGTAACGTCTTCCAGAAGGGAAAATGAATCTCCTAAAGGACAAGCTATTAAAACATGTAATTCTGATGCACCACGTGTACCATCACCCAAAGAAAGAGACAGTATGAGTTTGCACTCTCCAAGAAAAACTGTAGAATCACTACAGTTCAGTTTACCTTCAAAAACGAAGTCTAATAAAACATCAGTAGTATCTAGAAGTATCCCACATCATAAAATTGTTGCAGGTAATTATTTTTATTTAATTGATACATATGAATCTGTATTTTACATTTTTAGAGCAATATTTAAAATAAAAGACCTTTGGTGAACCTATCTCTTTTCGCAGTTAACCTAACATAGCAGCATAGGAAGTAGAAAGTTGACAATAGTAGTTCAAGAGAGAATTGAATATAAACATTTTAATAATAAGATAAAACTTACACATTTTTTTACTGTTACTATTTAGTTTAGTTTCCCATAGAAAGTTCTAAGAACAAGATTTTAGTTACTTCATGTAATTTATAATTCAAAAAATTGTTTCTAAGATTTTTATTGTTTTTAACAACAATATGATCTTTGCAACATCTACAAATAAGTTATATAAGTAAATATTAGATGGTTAATGTTAATAGTTAATGTCATCAATATTGATTTCAGGAACACATTTTGCTGTAGATGCATTTTCATATGGAGAAATACCTAACGTTAAACATTATTTCTTAACTCATTTCCACTCGGATCATTATTCTGGCCTCAAGAAAAGCTTTAATAAATTATTGTTCTGTTCTAAAATAACTGGTAAGTTGTATTTAAAAATGTTCATTAATTTATGACCACTGTTCCACTATAGGATAAATGTTTATCTCAATTGCTTGCACTTATTATTTTATTAAGATGACTTACGACTAATACTTAATGGAGTAGTTCAAGGTCATCATACATGTATACTTAATATCATTGTGTAAAACATATAAAACGTATTTATTTATAACTTTACTAGCTTTTACTGCATGACTGAGATTTTGTGGTTCCAATAAATAAATGTTATTATGTTAAAGGCATCGCTAAGGCATTAAGAAGTAACAAACAAAAAACTTTTATAATATTAGTAAGGATTGACCACATAATGCTAAATGGCATTCTTTCACAATTCTTGAATTTTAGACATGTTTACCTTTAGCCGAGTATATTATGTTTCTAAACGGGAGTGGGGCACGCTGTCACTCGGATTAATTTGGTTCGCTTACATGTTTTCCATTATTGGAAAATTAGTCGAAACTTTAGATATATACAATGTTTTTGGTGGCACTTAGATTCGAGGTGACGACCTTTGAACTTTGTAAGTTGGAATAGTGTACCAGAAGATTATGACACGCTTCTTATAATGCAGATATTGGATATGAAATGAATATAGTTCATTCATTTATGCGAAGTCTTCGTCTATCTGTGACAGCATAGCTCCCAATAGAATGAATCAATTTTGCTGGGACTTTATTATTTGGATGCTATTTAATTTGACCTAAATAATTTCAATTGTATTTTGATTATGCTTGGAGGTTGCCAAATTTTTTAAAAATAACCTTTTTTTTTCTGTAGTTTGGCTATATGTATGTGCATGTGTACTTATATATATTATTAATAATTGTAACATTTTTAGCGGATTTATGCATATCACGATTGGGTGTTAGTCCAAAATATATTCATGTTATAAATCCTGGTGAGACTATACGCGTGGAAAGTGTTGAAGTGACAGTCTTGGATGCTAACCAGTAAGTACCTAGTGTAATGTATTATATACTAGCGACCCGCCCTGAATTTGTGCTGTTATTTACACGCCCGTATTTTTTTTAAATACGTCCAAGTTAATCGTTGATAATGTTGCTTGCTTTAGGTGAGCGAATTTCGAAATTGGTTAAGTTTTTTTTTTGAGATTTTCCAATAAAAATAATAAAATTATTACTCCTTATAATATTAGTTTCGAAAAAATAAATAAAATTTTTTGGGCGGCATAATTTTTTGTTTGGTCTTCGAACTTATATACAAAAATCTCGTGTCAGTGTCTGTGATCGAACTTCTTCAAAATGGCTCGACCTATTTTTATGAAATTTTTGAAGATTATTGGGAAGGTATGAGAGTAGGTTGTAAAGTATATTTCAGACCGTTAGGTGATAAGGATGTGCCTAACGAGAAAAATATATGGCAGAACAACATTTGGAAAAATATTCAATTTCCACGGTAAAATTATGCTTTAAAACGATAGTAACTTTAAAAGTAATTATTATAAAGCGAGAAATATTGTTTTGTAAAAAATTTCAGTTGTCCTGGAGCTATTATGTTAGTGTTCACATTACCCAATGGGAAGACGCTGTTACACTGTGGAGACTTTAGGGCGTGTCCAGCTATGGAGTCATACCCCATATTTTGGAATAAAGACATTCATACGATATATCTAGACACCACGTACGTAGGTTTCTAATACGTAAGATTTTTTACTGAATTACGTGTTATCTTGCCGAAATTCATATCATTGGTTATTTGATTACGATAATTTCCCATAATTCCGCTACCATTAGTATGTGTGTCACTGCTAACACTCGAAGATTTAGTCATTTGCATTTTGGGTACCGAACGGTTGTTACGGCTCCGAGTTAGATCTGATAATTTGTCTAATATGTTGTTTATATGTGAAACACGTGTTTCAAAACGTGCGTGAACAAGTTGGTAGTCGGAGATTAATGGCTAAGATGCAAGGCTATCGAATTTAGTAGTACATAATGGTTGGTCAGTGTTCGTATTTATACATACACTAATGGTAGCAGAATTAAACAAAATAATTCGAATCAAATAATCAACGCATGATTTTGTTTAGTGGCATGAAAAGTGACTAATTAATAATTAAACAATGTCCCGAAACATGTGCCAATGAAAATATTACAGAGGATGTAGGTCCTTCATCATCTACATCATCATCATCATATCAGCTTTTAACTTTCCACTGCTGAAGATAATCCTTCCCCTTTGGGTTTTGCCAATAGTTGCCATGGTTGGTACGCGGATTGGCAACCGCAGTAAAGCTTTAAAGATATTATAAGAGGGACGCTGCTGCTCATCCTCGCCCTCCCCTTAGTCAGCTTATACGACACCCACGGGAATGGAAGGGGTGGTCTATTATATGCCTAGACCACACGGTAAACACCTTAGTCCTTACAATGGGATGGGCGTACGAGGGAATCATGATCATTTAAGGTTATCTGGAAATGGTTGCTATTTGCTGATCGCTATCGGTAGATCGCCTATTGTCGCTTCTTTGCCTTGCTTCTTGTAGTACTCTACTACTAGTCTACATATTTTATATAATTGTATCTTTGTATGACGGGAGCAATAAGTAGAGTTACTTCCACAAAAAAAAAATCATTTCAGTAGCAAAACCAGTCACTTTGATTTTGAATCAAACTATTGAATCGATATTGATGGTATAACTATGGGGAACTAATCTGAAAGTATGTGTAAAAGTAAAATAATAAAAAATTCCAAATCCGTTTATAAATGAAGGAGTTCTGAAATGTCCACTACCTTTTTTGAACTCGGTTAATAGTTTTCATTCATTCAATGTCATCGCAGTGTATTCATGGTGCTCTTCATGTCTATAGCGACGATTACCATCTTTCCATCAAGTCATCGCCGTCATCATGTCTACCATTCCAAGTTAATAAAAAATAATCCTGTTCATTTAGTTACTGCAATCCTCGGTATAACTTCCCCACACAAGATCAAAGTTTGGAGATGGCTGTAAACTTGTTGCGCCAGAAGAAACTGGCACTCGAGAAGGACGGGAAGTCGTTTTCGTCTGTTCTTATTGTCTGCGGCACTTATACTATAGGTATGTGTGCCTAATTGACTGTAACTTTAGACTATTTCACTTATTAATGGAAATTAAATAGCTGACCAATTAGTAAAGGAAGGGGCAAAGAATGCCCAAATAGGGCCCGAACCTTATTGTGATGTTACTACACACACGATTCGATTGTAATTTTTGTGCACATATTTTGCGATATTTTAGATAGATAGATAAAAATATATATATATATATATTTGCATCATTTACAGCACACAAATACCATCAGATATTAGTACATACTTAAAAAAAAAATAGAATACATATGCAAAAAAATTCACTAATTCGGAATCAGGTTTATGAATTCTTTTATTTTGGATTAAAGAAGATTACTATTGTGATTAAAAAACAGATTAATGTCTTGTATTCCTTTTTATTTATTCAGGCAAAGAAAAGTTTTTCTTGGGCATGGCAAAGCGAGTTGGATGTTCAGTGTGGGCGTTCCCCGAGAAGGACCGGGTGCTGCAAGCTGTAGAAGGACGCAGTTTTAGCCAATCGCCCCCACAATCCTGCCAGTTACATGTTTTAGCTATGCGCGACTTGACACATGAGGTAAAAAATATTTGTTTCTGTTATATTAATGGCAATTTTCCATCAATTATATTGAATGCATTGAATTCTCTTGCACGTGTCCTATATAAGTTATCCAACATTATTGGTTTGTTTATTCTACTGATATTATAAATGTGGAAAATTCTATAGATGTCTGTTACTCAATCATCCTTAAACAGTTGAACAGGTTTGAATGGAATTTGATGCACGATTATATTAAATTCCATTCAAGAATTCATGTCTTAGGTTATAACTGAAAGAATTCTCCTAATCTTGAGGGAGGCACCAGACAGTTCGGGGTTGGGCACGACCCACCTGGCCGCCCTTATTAAAGCTTACTTAAGGACGTAGTTTACTTAAAAGTGATAACCATAGCCTAAACACATAAATAGGATCAAATAAAAAGGTAAATTAGATGTAGCAACTTATAAAAAATTACAATTTCTTTACAGAAACTACGAAGTCACTTAGATAGTCTTCAAGGTGCATTTACTGAAGTGGTGGCATTTAAGCCCAGCGGCTGGGAGAACAGCAAGAACTCTACAGTCGAGAAAGATATGGTCACAATTCATGGTAAACTTTAATAGATATTTTACTAATACGGCATTTGACTCTAATATCATAATGTAGTTGAAACGATCTTGTGATTTGTCCATTAAAAATATGTTGTATATTAAATGTTTTAGAATGTCCCAGATGGGATATAGGTTCTTGCTTGTTACCGTTGTAAGAAATTTATTTAAAGTTAATATAATAGGAGGTCAAAACTACTGCCATCTTTCGCATTTACATTTTTGGATATTGTTTTCTATCACTAGATGGTAAGTAGGCGTTTTAAACCTTGAGCGCTAAACAACTAAATTTATGCGCTATTTTGTGAATAATAAGTCGTTAACATATCCGACATTTGGGGATTATTATAGATTAAAGAAAATACAGCCCATGCTATTCAATGATAATGTAGTTTTTTCTAGGTGAAGGAAAGTTTAAAATCGGTCAATTTTCTTGAGTATTACAAATGAAAAATCGAAACATGCCTCTTTATTAGTTTAGATTTTAATTAGCAAAAAATAGGATTCACTTTTCATAATAAAGTTGTAACATAATGTACGTTATAATTAAATAAATAGATTTCACACGACAAGAAATAAGTTTCTTTTTTATGTAAAATAATGATATATGCTAAATTTTTTATATTGATTAGGATTCTTTTTACAGGTATACCGTACAGTGAACATTCTAGTTTCTCGGAAATGATACGTTTCGTAAAATTCTTAATGCCAAAGCAAGTGGTGCCTACTGTCGATATTTCTGGAGGAATTAAAGCGGTGCAGGTATATATTTTAAATATAATATTATTTACTTTTTATTTTATAATTGAAACATGTGTGATATTGATTATGTTTATTATTTCAGAAATATTTTCCCTGTCCATTGATTTACAAAGATGACCCCCAATCTCAGAGCAAAGTGACAGATTTCTTCAGCATACAGAGCAAACAACGGGTTTCTGCTGTCACTTGAATATACAGTTAGTATGCTTTATAATAATACTTTATAATCGCGAATAATAATTCTTCTAAGGCTATCGCACCGTTAATGCGATTTTAGGTCGCTGATCATCCGCGGTAGAAAGTCAATATAATGTATTATATAGCTGGAAAGTAAATATGGATTTGCTAATAATAACGAGAACGTTGTCACTTCGGAAAATCGATCATTACATCAACGTACAGCCACGGAACTCGCGTCCGATTTACCCGCGCGCTCATCTTCGGTAAACGGAAGATTGGCAACGACGCCTTATACGTTTTCTTATGTGATTCGTCTTACTTTCGACCTAAGAAGCTCCATACTGGCAGTGACAATCATGTCGACCCTTCAATTACGTAATTGAACGACAATAATCTCTAAAATTAACATAGATTAGAAATGAAATTAAAGAGTACTGAGCATTTATATTACGAAAACATATGGGGGGTTACCATGGACATTGTAATGTATTTTTCGATGTCCGTGACCCTGTGTCTATAGGCGAACTATTATAATTTTCCATCAGTTGTATTTGCATGACTGTGTTTTTGTTTGAACGGTGGGATATGGTAGTGAATATACAGGGTGCAGAAGAATAACACCTGAGTCCTCAGAAATGACAACGCAAGGGGGATATCATTGGCGATGTCCATGCTACTGCTCATGTGTATAGGCGACGGTTACCACTTTCTGTCAGATGGGCCGTCGGTTTGTTTGTCATTCTAAGTTGCATAAAAAAAAAGATTCCATCATCTTATTTGCTATTTCAAATTCCACAAAATATCATAAGATCTTAGTAATAAATAACTAAATATTGAAAGAGCATCACTAGCTTAGATGGTGTAATATTAAGCTAAACAATATCCAAATTTTATTTTATTAATATTTTTTGTTTCAGATAAACTGCATACTTTTATTATAAGCTGCTATTGCGTGACTGTGATGTAACTATTTTTTGATAATTTTGAATATTATATTGATCGTTGTATAATAAAAATTGTTGAAACTATTCCCATATCTTTGTTATTTAATTACACACAAATATCTAAACAGATAGGAGATTTTTTATATTTAAAGATACAACTATTCTTGTAGATATTTAGAATAGAATAGAAACATATTTGTTGCCAGAAAATATAATACTATTATATATGTGTCTTATTTTTTTAATGGTTGATAATGAAATGTTAACCCCACCTGCGCTAACGGTATACGCTGGCGGAGCACCAGTGAGGGATAGGTGACGATGAAAACAGGTCCGTTAGTATATCGTGCGGAATTCCACCAGAATTAAGCATGATATAGAGTCCAGGAGTAACCGCGTGGAGGTCGACCTAATAGGGTATATTGCTAGCAATGGGAAAACTAGACCCCCATTACTAACCATCCCTTTCCTCCCATATCTTAGATAAAAGTAGCTGGCTCAGTTGATGTTGTAAGTATTACAATGCAATGTGTTCAGCTACACAGCGCTGGTTCTCAGGCTAACCCTCTTTTAAGAAAATATTTACAAATTTACTTTGTCTTATTTAGGCTTGCTCCTACATTGAGATGCTGTTCACAACCGCTTTTTCTACGGTGCTTATCTCCCCACGAGTTGATCATTCTTGCTATGCAAATGCACGAATGTACTTGTCATTCGTTATACTAACTTATGACCTATAAAATTGAATATAGACTATTCTACAGAAAACCCAGTGGAGGAAGGAATTATTTAATGAGGAGGTTAGTTCTGATTTCTCACAATATACCCTGTAGGGTCGATATTCACGTGGTCTTCTCTAGAAAACGTCCTGGTAATTTTTTTTGTAATTTCGTCGTAATGGGCTAACTGACCTGTTCACATCTTCATCTGTGCATGTCAGCATATACCAATAGAGCAGGCGGGGTTATAATTTCATTATCGTCCATTAAAAAACTTAGTAATAATACTAGGTGTCATAAATTATATCATACGAAAGGTTTTATGAATGGCTTTCTATGACAAAAATTATAATGAAAAGAGACTATTTGTTATTTGCATATTTTTTTTTATTGATGAAATAAATCAAGGTGATATAATTCATCTTCAAAATTAAAGGAAAATTGGTTAAAAAATAAATTAGACAGCTATGTTTTTTTTTCTGCAATAATAAGACACGATCAACGACAAGTGAAATTGTTCTTTTATATAATTTTTGGGCATTCAATGTTATGATGGAAATTTCCACTATTATGCAAAGAAGGGTTAAATAATAAATACAATGTAATTATTTCATCTTTATTGGAATGATATGAGTTAAAATGTATCGATACTGTCTTTTTTAGTATTCACGTGGTCACATTCTTCTCTGCCTTTACACGATAGCAGACGAACTAATGAATTCCTGTACCAAAGTACAATAGATTGAAACTCTTCGTTTACTATATTTTCCAGTTCGTATGGATCTTTTGATAGATCGTACATTTCGGCAAAGTTCTGTAAAAGAAAATCGAGGATTTAGAGAGAATTCGAGATGCAAAAGCATAGAGTTTATAATGATCAGATAGACCAGTCTGATCATTATATCCGCAATCTGATGAAATTGCAGTTATGAAAGTAGGTAAATCTAAAGATATATCGATAGATAGATATATAATTTATTTGCATTACAGCACACAAATAACAACAGACATACACAGTAAAAAGAGATAAAAAATGCATATACAAAAAAAAAAGCAAAATATATAAGTAACATTTTTTTCATAAATATATAAAGATAAAGGTCTTTAGCTTGTTATGTTGTCAAGCAAGAGACTTAACGGTAGTCCCGTGTCTATTATTCAGGGTGACGTTTGAATTTTTGAAATGTGTTGTTAAGAAATTGTCATAATACTAATTGGGGATGTATATTTTTACCAGAGGGATACTTTGTACAACAGTCGATTGCTTGGGTACCTCTGTCCCATTCGTGTTTTTACCGTGAAGCAATTGTGTTTTTTTATGGCTGTGTTTCGGTTTGAAGAGGTGGGATATGGCGTGAATTTACAGGGTACAGAGGAATAACATCTGAGTTCTCAGGAATGGCAACACATGAGGGGTATCATGGGTGAAACAATATACTCTGTTATGTCCATGGTACTGCTCATGTGTATAGGCGACGGTTACCACTTTCCATCAGGTGGGCCGTCAGCTTGTTTGTCATTCTAAGCTGTGTAAAAACAAAAAAACAAAAAAAAAATACTCGTATTTATGTAATGATATACATGGTTCATCTCTCTCTCACTGGTGTCCCGCCAGCTGATACCGATAGCGCAGGTGGAATTATCATTCCATTCTCGCCCATTAAAAAAAGAACCTTTTATTGATGAGGAAGCATTTGACAAAAATTCTGTCTTGCTATGGACTATCAACTGTTTAGACTTAAATAAATAAATTCTATCTATTTTATGTATAAAATATTATTGTTCAAGTAGTGTCGACTCGTTGTCACTTGTTTAATCTTTTTGGATAGCTTCGTGGACTACTTCAGGTGCCTCCAGTGACAATCAGTGCCCTAAACTTATCCCTAAAACTAAATTATTATTTGCTAGTTTAGCGAAATTATTCAGTTATGGACTAACTATTAAAACTTTCAAGTGGTAGTAGTAATGATTTTGCTGTAACGTCAAATTAAAATATTAGTTTTAAGTACTCTGGCAACTTACGTATAATCTCACCTCATTATCTGCAAACAAACAATACTTCATATTGACCCGGTCAGCTATATGTCTTATACATGCAAATGTGTTGTTTTTTGAATCTTGACATTTGCAATCATACAGTGGATGGCATTCCTGAAAAAGACATGAAAATGTTATTTTTTTAAAGCTGTAAATGTGAATAACAATAACCTTGGTATTAAACTACGTTGTTTGCAATCAGGTGGATAATATGCTTATCGCAACAGTTGTGGTATATAAAGCTGTGACTAACTTTCAGACTGGATTTTATTCTATTTTTTTATATGTCTCTTAAATTATTTGTATTAGTTACTCTGCGGTCGGTGAGGCCATCACAAAGTACTAAATAAAAAAAAGTAAGTTTTAATTTGATGATTTTTCTTTTTCGTTTCATATGTTCAGTGTCATATAAGATTTAACTTCTATCTATTGATTTGAGGCAGAGGTGGAGTATCCGAGATTTATATTACTCGTACTTAGGGGCCTCTGTATGTTTTTACCTTACATGTAACTCCTGTAACACTAACCTTCAATTTTATTTTTAAGAACATTAACCCATATAGTTTTTTATTCAGTGTCAAAAAAGCTCCTTACCTATTTTATTCGTATTTCTGTAATGTATTCTGTGTTTATAATTCTTACATACATACATGAAACTATACTAATAAAAAAGATAACCAAAAAAACCGCATTAGGATTTTTTATTACTAGTACGTTTACCTCTTTTTTAATCTGTTATTCTATCATGTCTATCTACATAATTTTGTAATACTGCTGATGTTTTATATTTCACAACGATACCACACAATATGATACTATATAGCAGGGGTGACCAACAGGTCGTACTCGATCGACCGGTCGATCGCGACTATTAGTCCAGTCGATCGTAGTGAGGCAAAAAATATAATATTTTGCTAATCTAGCGAAAGATGCTCAGACGCAATGCTCATACTAATAAGGAGTTACTAAAGAAGTTAAAAAGTTACTAAAGGAGGTATTAATACTAATATAAATAAGGAGTTACTAAGTATAATTTTCAGTTTTATGTTTTCCCTCTTAATGAAATAAAAAGTACTACAATGCTACATAATTGTGTGCTGAACTATGTTATATCATTTGGCATTTCAAGAAGTATGTAATTGGTAGATCACAGAGGGTTTCGTCAGTAAACAGTAGGTTTTGGATCTAGTCAAGTCGGCCACCTGTACAATATACAAGTCATACTTACAGCAAGATGATCACTATCGTATATCCAAGGACATTTCGGGTCTACAGTGCCGTCTCTTCCTTCTCCATAATACTCCACCAGCATTAACCTCTCCATGTTATCCTCTTCTTTTAATAGTTCTAGTGGATGCCCATCCATTTTTTTAGGTTCCAAGCCAGCTAATTGTAGAATTGTAGGAGCCAAATCGATATTTGTCACTGGCTGGGGATTTTGTGTGTTCTTCTTTATGCCTGGCCCTCGAATTAAGAGGGGGACTCTAATGTCTGTTTCATAAGGTTGTCTTTTGTCGTAGACCTGGGAGAACTGACCTGTGAAGTAATTTGTACATAAGTATATAGCATAGGCATATTCATTTTCTTTGTTAATTTAATCTATCAAATGAGCTCAAAACAAATATGTGGATATTTGAGAAGAGAGGTGTATTGACGATTAGTAAAATTATCAAAGTGGTCTTATTAATTAAGTTTTTTAAGTAAGCATTTTTTCATTTGGGAAGAGATATTTGTTGATGTTTAATATTGAAATCCAACATAATAGTGTTAATATCATTATGTTGGTTTTCTTTCGTATGAACGTATTATCATTAAACTAATTAATAAAAATGGCGGTAAATAATTTGTAGAATGTTTCATATTTAGTCCACTCAACATCACAACAACAAACATTTATAAGTATACGAAAGATCCAAATGTTTTTAATTATCGTTGCAATTCACATCGTTTGTGTTACATTTCACTACTATTATAAACGTGAAAGTTTGTGAGGATGTAAATATGTATGAATAGACAATTGTTACCCTTTCATGAACGTACTAAATGGATTTGAATGAAATTTGGTACACTATAAAGTATGTTCTAATATGATAATTTATATACATATGTATATATATACTGATTCGGGCAGGGGAAGCAGTGAGATAGAGTCAGTAGTAGTATCTATAACAGTGTCACATTTTGGAAGTGTTAATGATGAGAAATCAGTACAGGTAAACTTACCAATATGATAACCATTATCTGAAGTGAATATTATATACGTGTCTTCCATTAACGCGTTAATTTCTAATGCCTGCACTACATCTGCTACCATTTCGTCAACGGCTAGCAAAGCCTCCCAGCGGGAACGGTACGCTTTGTCCAGCTCTGACATCATTGACTCGGGCAGGGGAGACGGCGGCATTCGTAATAGCCAATGCTTGTCCTGGTAATGAAAAATGGGTAACAAAATATTAAAAAAGAATGTATTGAAATAAAAATTCAAAATAGGCTAACGTCACTTAAGCTCCATAAATAATATGTATTTGTATGTAGGCAGTCGACTAGCAGTGAGTGGTGAAGAGGGGAAAGCGGGGCTGTTAAATTATAAGAATTTAAGAATATATAATATCTGATAGGGTTATCAGATTGATCACCATGCTGTCCCCCCGCCCCGGTTATTAATTCGTGGTTAATTTTTTAATTTAACTTGTGAATTTATCACGGGTTAACAGATTTGACTCACTGATATGCAGCGCATATTGGCAGGTTAGGCGGGTAACAATTCCATTTGATTTCATTAAAAAATATTCATGCAGCCATAGTGCATGTGGGCTACTACTAAACATAAGCCTTCCCTATAAAGGGAGATTTGCCAATACTTGTCTCGCTTGGCAGGCGGGTTGGCAACCGCCGTTAGACTTTAAGAGAGATGCTGCTACCCATCCCTCTACCAATAAGTCCATTTAGTCACCTCTTACGACACCCACTGGAAAGAAAGGGGCGGTCTATTCTATACCGAAACCACACAGCCAATGCCATGATAATGTCCTATGTTTATATCTATATTATTGCTATCTAGTACTTACCTCTGCAACTACATTAAAATTAGGTTGTCTCAACGCAGTAACGTTGCTGAAGACGCCTTTATGACGTGGCGCTGGGGTGAAAGGTTGATGTGGGGCCGGCGGAGCTAACACCATAAGAAATGGTTGTGATTTTGTCTGATTTTCTATGTAGTTTATGCTGATTTCTCTCTAAAAAGGGAATTAGAAGATAAATTAGAACTTTGTGTAATTTGTACGGTTTATTTAAAGAAAGTTGATATGACTATTGTTTTTTTTTAATTTAGATACAGTGGCATAATGTTAGCTTTATCTCGAGTCGCGAGGTTTATTCTAAGTGGATATGCTGCTGCATATACCCTTAGAATATAGTTGCTTCTTGTATAAACCTATATGCTCATAGGTTTATTCAACATGCGTAAAAAGGCTTCTTCAGGACCGGTAACATCCTTTTTTCATGGAAATTCAACTTTGGTGTTTCCGTTGTTAATAAATTAATCCTAAAGAGGAAATAGGCCTCGCTCTTCTTTATTATTAGGCGGAATGTATTTGTTTGGCATTCCCCATTAATTTTGTAAACGTGTAAAATACTAAAAATAGACTTACAATAACATCCGTGAGGTATAAGTCAGTGGAGTGTGTGGGGACACCATCGTTGGATATAGTATAGTTGTAGTATACAGAGTTGCCGACCAAACCGTGCCACTCCGACCAACCAGGCGGCACGCGACTTGGACCCTCGGCGTGTTTTACACCATACTATCAAAAATTCATGTATATATTAGACAATTTTAAGTTTTATATACAGTACACTGATGGTATAGTCTTGTATGCACTCGCATAAGTTTGTGGGTATCATTGTCTTATTTATTGCTGAAACAGCATTTGTTTTTATGTCGCTATCCGAAATTCAATTTCTAACACAAGCGGCATAATAATTCTGTCCAAAGGAGTGGAAATATATGAGAGATAGAGGTATAAAATAGATAAAGCAATGGCAGATATACAAAGAGATGGTTAAAATTCGACTACCTGCCCCGTAGTGGACCTGCGGGAAGATAATCTAATGACCATTATTGTGTGTATGTGACACGTAACATCACAATATTTTTTTAATTTAGTCTATCTGTTCCGGCATAACTTAAAAACTATTGCATCAAATCGAATGTGCTTTATAAGTTGTGTTCCTGAAGATCTAACTTAAAATCTGGTGTGTTTCATTTTGAAACGCTATCTACAAGTGAACTGTTTTGTTTTCTATTGCTGAAATAAAAAAAAAAAAAAACTAGTATATAATATGTTGTGTAATTTAATTAGGTAACGTATATTTAATTAACTTATGGGATTAGCTAATTATTGCTTTCCATTATAAGCATCCATTTTAAATTATGTAATTTTAAATGTATACCTACAGATGCCTACATCTTAAAACTAACCTCATTTAAATACTTTCCAGCATAAAATGTATTGTATCCAGCATTTTTCAGTGCGTTTGCAAACACTCGATGTTCATTTTGGCGCCAATTTTCTCCATAACAGCCTCCCGCTACGCTGTTGTTTCGCGTTAGGTGATTGTGAACGTACAACCCTGTGAGGAGACTGGCGCGGCTTGGACAGCAGATTGGAGAGGATACGAACTGTATGATTATAGTTTTAATTAGTGTTCAGGTCCATATTTATTAATTCTTTAAAATAAACAGTGTGTGAATCTATGTAGATCATAACTGGAAACATCGATTGCTTAGTCCTGAAGCTAGGAGGCCCGTGGTTATATAATTATTTAGGTTTTTTTTAAAGACATTCAAAATAAGATTTAAATTTCAACTGATTTTTTATGCCTATATTATACAGTCACGATGGCAATAATTCTTTATGTAATCAATGAGGTCGGTCCCATATAAATTTTGTTATTATTGTAAACTCAACTTTTATTTAAAAAAGCAACAGCTGTTTCTTGCTCGTTCTTTTTAGCTGAAACTGCATTTCAAAATGGGCAATAGAATAACAAAAAAAAAAGAATACTGTTTAAAAACGTTTATAAATAAGTTTACTTAAATAAAAGAACATTTGAATTTTTTTAAATCTGCAATCTGAATTAAAATATACGAAGTCATGGGTAATATCATATATTTTTATAGTTATTCAAATGAATGCATATGCAAAATGCATTCATTTGAATAACTGATAATGGTTATAGAGCCTCCAGAAGAAATCTATATATTGGCGAAAATTTAAAAATCGAACCCGGGACCTCGTTCATGCAAAGCAACGTGCCACCCCTGCGCTACTGTCGTTACGACTTATGCACAGTTCAACGAGTTACATTTCTATATACCTGTATTGTAAATTGGGGTCAAGACAATAATGGGAAGTTAAAAGTCATTTCATTCTGCCATTCCATACTATTGTTTTCTCTACCTGAATCTATTTAAGTATTTGACAGATGGTAGTTTGCAGTATAAAGTTTGTAAAATATAGATAAAGTAACAAATTTCATATCTGTCTAACTACTTAAGTAGGGGGGAAAGGAATTGTTAGTAATGGATACTAAACATCCCATTGCTAGCAATATACCCAACCAGGTCGACTCTTCATGGTTCCTCCCAGAAACTATCATGGTTAATTCCTGATGAATTCATTATGATGGGCTAACTGGGCTGTTTTCATTCTCATCGATCACTCTTCACTGGTGCTCCACCAAAGTATCCTGTTAGCGCAGGCGGGGTTACCATTCCATTTTCACTCATCAACTATTTAAGCATCATCAGCAAATATTTTTTCAAATATTAACATTTGTAAGTAGAATGCATTAAAGATTCAATTTAATGACTGTTTGTCAACAAAGTAAGTGTACTTACTGAGTTGGTAAACGTTACACCTTCCTCAGCAATAAATCTCCGAACATTTTTCATTGGATTCTGAAATGAAATAAAACTACAGTTTGTCTCAATAATCTGTTTTATTTTTTATTATCATTATTATCACTCATAGCACACTCTAATCATTTACTAACCATTCCACCCAATACTACATCTTGATCATCTGTTAACACAAGAACAAAATTTGGTTGTTTTTCACACATCACAGTTTGTGTGAGATAAAATAACAATAAATAATATAACATTTTTAACTTTATTTTGCTTATTTAGTTAGAGGTATTGTTTATTTTTAACTTTACTGTGGTGTAGCTGGCATTAGCTCAAGCCCTGTACATTCGCTGGCAATCACAACTCCAACTGTGAAAAATCCAACACTCTTCACCACTGACCTGAAAGATAACATTTAAAAAGGTTAGATCATATGTTTATGTATATTAAGACATCTGATTTTACTGTTGGTATGTAAGTTTTAGATTATATAGAAAGAGTTATGTGTAAAAAAACAGGTTTAGTCAGCTGAATTGACATTTGACTGACTAAATTTGAATACATATTTAAAAAAACATGCCATTTTTCAGTGTTGCATGTAATTAAATTAAACAACTTCTAATCTAAATAGATTTTTAAACATGAATTGGGAACTATTTCATCTGATACTATATAAATATATGTATGTATGTATATATTGGTTACAAATTAATATACATGTAATAATTTAAACGGTGAGCATTTTCAATGATCTTAAAACAAACATTGTAATTTCAGCAATTAACTGTCCATTGCTGAACATAAGCCTACACAGTTATGTTTTTAGAGATATTTTAAGGATGCCACTGCCCATCTCTTCACCATAAGCTCCCTTGATCGCCTTATATGGCATCCACGGGATGGGAAGGGGTGGCCTATTCTGTACCAGGATCACACAGCAAAACCAAAAGCATATTATGTCCATTCATTCATATCAGCTGTTAATCATCCACTGCTGAACATGACTTCCCCCATAAGGAAATGTAGTTTTAACGCTATAATGTATGTTTTGTTCCCTTACTCAAACTATCATACTTTAGCAATAATATTGTCATTAGATATACCTTAAAATTATTTTGTCAAACTGATGATTCATAAGTATATTTGTACTATGTTGAAACAATGTTTTTTTCAAAGTTAATTACTGTAAGTAAATAATGTAAGTACTTCACTAAGTATTAAAATTGAATTTGAATATACAAACGGTCAATACAACTTATTATAATTATTAAGAATATATATAAAAAAGTATGACAAAGATAAGCAGGTTAAATAAATATAGAGATAAGCCTTAAGATAGATTACAAATTCTTCAATAAATACCTATGTTAATTACATGTTGTTTATTGACTAATTAAGAAACTTCCTTTCTATTAAAATACATAATGACTTTAAGGTCATCTATAACAGTGATGGGAGAATATAATTAACTGAGACCTAAAGATCACAGCCTTCATTTATGAAACTACAAATGTAGTAAGAGGAGAGTGATTACATTCTATATACATATAATAAAACTGTAACTAAAAATTATGTCTGTAGATAGGAGACATTTAAGAAAATCTTTAAAATAAAAGATCTTAAAATTGCAATGGATGCCAAAATATTAATTTTTAGAATTTTGTTAATCTCTATGTATATTTATTGTGGATTCATGTAAATACTACTACACCAAAGTGGATCTGGCTTTTACAGCTGTGGTTCTGAATTTAAAATCTAGTGTTTTATTTCAATGTTTATGCATACAAAGTTTTGGGAAAAATTAAACTATGTTTAATTGAGATTGTAGAGAAAAGCTAATTAACATGTAACGTGATATTTTCCAACCTCTAATGGACTGCTGCCTCCCAATTTGTTAATACACTATTCATCATTACAGACAATGTGTTGTGTCAATACCTTTTGTCTATATATGACACAGGGGCAACTGTAGTGTTTTTATAATAATTTCTAAGTCTATTATTTTGTCATAAGGATTTATTACATTTACTATAATTCTATAGTAACTATTGGATATGATCAATTTAGAAAACAGACTTACATCTATATATTTTAAAGGTCTTTTAAAATATATAGAATATAAAATAGATAGATTAGTAAAGTATTGAATAAAGGGTATATAATTAGGCCTTTACTTAAAAAATTTACATCGTGTTCTAAATTAATAAAGATATAAAACAAATTTTATTACCCACATTTATGTAGAGGTTATGTCTACACTTACCATTTGAAGGGATCGTAATAAAAATCTTTGATAAATGCAACAACAGATTTTTTGCCCATTATATATATTTTATATTAGTTTTTAATTCAATGCAAATTACGTTTAATAATTTTCCTAGGAAAATCAATAAATCTTAAAAATTCAAGATATTTTCCAAAAATATTTGACAAATTTCACATTGACAGCAACTGTCAGACGAGAAATGGCATTTAGCAATTTTACTTTTTCTTTTCTTGCAGGCAAAGGAATATATCTGTACATTTATGTCTGAAATTACGTGTTTTGCAAATAGTCTGCGATAGCCGAAAATTGCTCGATATTTTTATAATCTTTATTTTTGATATTGTGTATTTTATGTTTCTGAGATATTTTTTTAGGCAATTAATGAGCAACTATTGATGCCTCTGCTGAGCGGTTTAAGCACTAAAATTATTATTGCTATATTGATATTTAATTGTTAATGGCGCGATTTAGCTTTCATTGTTACATGTTTGTGCATTATAGAAAAGTGTATGTGTTTGATCTATTAGAAAGCAATCGTATTATTAGTAATTATGATCATATATTACAAAGGGCGGCAAATATATATAGATATTTTGCCGGAATGGAGAAATAGTTAAATCGTGCACTATTTAGATTTGTCGTAGTCGAGTTTTTGAAACGTTTCTTTCCATATTAGAATATTCGATCATATACCAATTCCGTATATACTTATTCACAAAACGTAATATTCACCTTCAACAAAAATAATAGAAGCTCCACATGTATATAAATAATTTATTTATTAGTTTTAACAGTCTTAACAATCCAATCTGTATAACGTGATATTTTTGTATAGACCCCAGGATAGTATCGATGCCCGCAGGAATAACCGAATGATACGAGACCAACTACCAGACCTTTATATATTAATGGTCCACCTGAGTCACCGAAACAGGCATCTACCCCACCGATGTTGGGTTGACCAGCACACATCATAGTGTCAGCGATTACCGCTTTTATTGTATTATACCTATTGGCACATACTTTTTGATCTATCACAAACATAGTGGCATGCTGTAATTGTTCTAGTCGAGGTCCATCAACCTGGAATTGAGATAAGAAATCGAATGAGGTTTATTAACAGGGCCTAAACTAGGGAAACCCTAGTCGGGAAATTGTCAGGGCGTCAAAATTAGGTTACTGCAAATTAACATGGTTACTTATAATAAAAGGTAATACATATATAGTTTTATTCGGAGCAGCAAACTGCTAGAATGGAGGTAGTTAAGAGAATTGGATTTTAAAGGGTATCTGTACTAGATATAACAGATAGGTAGATATAATAGTGATATAAGGAATCCTCTTCTTTTTGCTACATATCTTATTGATGCTATAATAATGGTAGTCTTTATACTTCATCGTCACATATCCTATATTTAACCACATAAAATGGTCATGGCCCATCAGTATCTATAGACATTTAGAATTCATCACTTCAGTATGTAGAGGGTTGGCAACATTGCGGGTCTCTTTTAGTTGTATTTAGTTATGAGTTGAAAGTAAAGTATCAAAATTGTACCTGGTTAGCTCCCCATCCAATCAACGTACAGATTGAATTTGATTTCACTTCCACTCCTCGTTTGATTATAGTTCCTTGTCGAACATTTCCTCCTAGCTGAAATGGTTTTGAGACGACAACCATAGCAATATCGTTTGTATAGAAATATTTATCGAAGGCATGATGGGGAATTATAGTTTTAACATTATGTAAGACGCCACCTCGGGTGCGATACGATGATCCGACGCGTACTTTCCAGTACTTGGGTAAGGTATAACTGAAAAGTGAATTGCCTATTTAATGATAGATCACTAGGCACATCAAAGGGTCAATTTTGTACAAAAGTCGTTTGCTTGGGTACATCTACCCCCTACTCGTATTTTTGCCGTGAAGTAATTTTTTTGCCATATTAACCTCTTGGTTCTTAAGAATGACAACATATGGGGAGTATGGGGCGACACAGTGTATTCTATGATATTTATAGCGCTGTTTATGTCTGCAGGCGGCGGTTATTATTATCTATCAAGAAAACCATTAGGCTGTTTGTCCTTTGTCTTTCCAACTTTGATAAAAAAAGAACGTTATGAATAATGATCATCGTCTAGAACCTTGTTATAATAGGTTTGATAAATGCAAAGGATTGTAAAGACGCATGGATATTTGTTACTGGTACTGCTCATGTCTATAGGCGACGGTTACCACTTTCCATCAAATGGGCCGTCAGCTTGTTTGCCATTCTAAGTTGTATAAAAAAACTCTTTCATATAAAAATTTCTGAAAAGATTTGAATGAAATTTGGTACACAGGTAAGTTATTTATGTTATGTACTACTTCATGTGGGTGAATCCACGGGATACAGCTAATTTAACGTATTTACTAAAATAATTAATTTCAATACCACTGGAAAATATTAGACAGCACCATCTAGTTCTAAACTATATCGTTACATTTATTAATCATCTTGTTTATTTCCTATATTGTGTAATGAAATAAAGAATACTAATTTATTCATTATCCACGACCATTACAAGATAAAGCGATGCGTTAACTTCCTAGGTCGAAGAATATAATATTACACTCTGTAGATCTTTATATTCTGATAACATCGTAGTCAAATATTTCTTTTTGAATTCAATGAAAAATATAGATTTTTAAATAAACTCACTTCTTGCTTGTGTGCACGCTGAATTGGAAGCAGTGTGCCGTTGTTATTACATGACGGGAAGTCAATATTGTGCCGGCACAGTATTGCTCAAAGTTCTGGTTTCCCAAGGAGTCTAACAACAACTGGGCTAATATTGGATATTTGTCTATGGTCGTCGGTGCACCACCAACTACACGGGGGTTATTAAATATTTGGGAATTCACTGAAAAATAAAATGATAAAAATGATAATAATGTTAGTAGGTAAATTAAATCAGGATCAATAAGGGTACCAATTTTTATTATAAAGGCATATAATTTTATAAAAGTAGGTAAAATTCACTTGTTATATAGTTAAGAATAAGTGCTCATTAATGTTATAGGCAAGTATTTAAATAATAGCTTTTGGAACACATAGAAATCATATTGCAAGTTATGTACCTAATCTATCAAATTATAATCTAACAAAATGAATGGAATACCTAATTAAATTTTACAGTCTAATTCAACAGGAAGGTAAAGGTTGGTACATCATACTTACCCCTCATATAGGAGGTTATGGCCAAAACAATTAATATAATTCGATTATAATGCATAATTTTCTATTTTCAATTATTTTGCACTAGTAGAGGTACGAGGTTTATCTTTCAACTGACTACTCTGAATGACCGTATATATGCAAAATATATCGATGTTCAACACTGTAAGCACTTTCTTAAGGGAGCGTCCATACTGGCATATGAGCTTCATGTAATAAAATTATGATTTAGTATATTAAGTTATTCATCTTTGTATGTCATTCTTTCACACGTAAAGTGTGTAAACTAATATTATTTGTAACCATCCAAAATTTTTATAACCAATGCCCACTGCATCGGTACACATTCCGTGTTATAAAATATTTTTTTTTTACTCTTCTGTTAGTTGTACTATACTGTAAATGTTAAAATCGTGGCTAAAAGTATGTAAATTTAAATTTGCACAACAGCTGCAGAGAGATCGTAACGCATTCGCCAATGTGGAATGCACCTTATGATATTAATTTATAATTGACACGATTATGGGACTGAGATAGAGTGGATTGATCTTCTATACTATGATTAATTATTGTTGATACTTGAGTTACATTGCTGAAGAGAATTTGAATCAAATCTAACAATGACATAAAGGTGAAAATAATAGTCTTATGACAGATAATGTATATACATATATCTACCTAGTTGTCACACACAATTTTTTTATGGGTGATAATAGAATGGTAATCCTGCCCGCGTTATTGGTATACACTAGCGGGGCACCAGTGAGAGATGATATGTCCTCATCTCCCACTCAAATTATGAAGCAGGTCAGTTAGCCCATCGTGATGAATTCGACAAGAATTGTTCACGATGGTTTCCAGAGGGAATCACGTGGAGGTCGACCTAATAGGGCATATTGCTAGCAATGAGACTGCCAAACTCCATTGCTAATAATCCTTTTCCCCCCATGTCACCTACAATTGATCACACAAATGTTTAATAATTTATTTAAAAAAGAATAATAATCTTATATATTTTGCGATTTTAAAATTGAAAAAAGCTTAAATATTTAATATATTAGGTCTGATTCTGAGCTACCATTTCTCTAAATGTATCCATGAAATTAAAATTTCTATTTAATATTACAACGATATCTTTATTCTAAGAACCGATATCACGATAATTAAATTTCTAATAGATTTTAAATTATAATAATTATAAATTTAATTAGTGATAGAACTAGAACCTTGTTATAATTGGTTTTTATAATATGTACCAAGTACTATTTTTGGTAAGCTAGTGCCTAAAATAGTAATTTCGTGAAACTATTAAATTGAAATATTAGATTATGGGACAGGTCTAGAGAAATGGCGCCTAAGAATCGACTCCATTTGATATGTAACCTAATATATTAAAAATGTTAACTTCCTAGTCAGATCTCACAAGTTTCACGTGAGATGCGTGTCCAGATTTCGCCGAATCGTTAGCTAAATCTTATTTTCCAATCTAGGCAATACATACCTATATATTCTACGAGTATACTTAAGCTATAAAAAATAATATAAATTTGATGTTATTAAATTTGTTATCAACAAGTATCAAAATCGATCAATCGACAAAATGAAAATATTAAGCTTAAGAAATTGATGTGTAATGAACACTACTTAGCATCAATCACATAAAATGATGAGGAGAAAGATGATTTAGAAAACGATCTAGGTAAGTCATTAACATTTTTTGTTGGATAGGTACAAGAACGTGTAGGTACTTACAAGAATGATAGATTATTTTATGCTTAAGACTTTAGATTCTATAAATAGTACTTACTTGTTTTTAACTGTACATTCCATCGAATTCATCGGTTTATCATTATAAAAATGTATACTATGTCTAAGATTTAAGTATATTTAAAATACGCTAAGCGAAAACATAATATTATACTTACTCAGAACTTAATGGTCTTTATAATATCTATGAACATAAAAAATAATTAGAGTTTTACCTTCACAGCAAAGGTGAAGCTTATTGCTTTCTATTCCTAAGAGGTCCATAGGTCTTTTAATGTTGTTACTCTGGGAAAATATTAATTGCTCGTTTTTAAATGACCTTTTTTATATTATATGAGGGATGATTGATGAGGATAAAAAGGCAGGTCAGTTAGCCTATCGTGATGAATTCACCGATAAATTAGTTACGATGGTTTCCAAGGGAAACCGCGTAGAGTTCGACCTGGTAGGATATATTGATATAGAGACTAACCTCCCCATTACTAACTTTCCTTTTCCCTCCAAGGGAAACTAATTTTTTTTTAATGGGAGATAATGTATTGGAAACCCCGCTTGCGCCATCGGTATACGCTGGCTGGGCACCAGTGAAGGATGATAGGTGTCGATGAAAGCAGGTCAGTTAGCCCATCGTGACGAATTCCACTAGAATTAACCAAGATGGTTTCCAGGGGGAACCGCGTGGAGGTCGACCTGACAGGGTATATTGATAGACCCCATTACCAGCAATCTCTTTCCCCCCAGGGAAACTAATTAGGTAATGACACCATGTTTATCTAAAAGTAAATAATGGTGGATATCTTTTAATTTAGTTTTTAAGAAGAAAAACATGTGTTATATATGCATATGTTATAGGTATACAAATAATTGATATAAGAAAATATTTTTTTGGACATTTTACTGGGATTTGGTTTATAAAATAATACGTGCAGTGTTAATAATAGTTGATTGGAATTTGGAGTAATAAAATATGCTGGCTAATAAAATTAACAATCAACTACAATATTTTTACAAAAAGCCATTAATGCCAATACGCAGAAACGGAATATCAGTGTTGCCAATTTATATTTTCACAGTTATCCAAAATTATCTTAGTTGCCATATGTAATTAACACAAATATAAACTAAGAGTAAATCATGCTTGTCTCCCATTAGGTTTTTTTTATGGGTTAAAATAGTATGGTAACCCTGCCTGCGTTAACGGGATACGCTGGCGGAGCACCAGTGAAGGGTGATCGATGAGAATGAAAACAGGCCAGTTAGCCCATCATGATGGATGCATCAGGAATTAACCACGATAGTTTCCAGGGAGAACCTCGAGGAGGTCGACCTGGTTGAGTATATTGCTAGCAATAGGATTCTCAGTCTCCAGGGAAAGGGATTGTTAGTCCCTTTCTCCCCTCTCCCATTAGGTTAGACTGAAATAATGGAACCCCAAATACTTCGATTCAAACAAGTCTCTTCCGCTTATTCCACATTATAATATATATTTTTAAAAAATAACTTCGTTATATTTTATACAAGCCACGGGCTCATGTCATCGATTTGAACTAAAAATTATATATAAGTATTATTAAACTATGAACATTTACCAACTAATGATTATAATTTTTATTGCTTTTTATTTAGTGACTAATAGTTAATAAAGGAAGATTAATCAATTTTTTTATTATGTAAGGTATACTTAATCAATACCCAACCAAAGATGGCGCTAGTCTGGCAATGAAAGAAAAATGACAAATATGGAGGCATTTACAACTGCTTCTTATCAGGTGAGCTGTATGACTGTTAGTAATGGGGATTAACAACTCCATTACTATCAATATTTCTTTCCCAACTATTATTTTTGAATTGAAATAGGCTCAGCGAAACTTGGACATCTTGACTTATATACACCATGATAGCAGTAGTCAACTACTCTATTAGGGTTTGCAGAATAAAAATATTTACTTTGATATTGTTTATATGAAGATTGAATAAATATAGACAATACACAGCAGGCCAATGAATGCCATGTTTTGCTAGTATTTATAAAAGAACATTCGTGTAAAGAAAGTAACACTACTTATATTTCATTTATATAATATCTAAAAATACAGATATTATTACACAATTATTATGGAAATATTAAAATAAAATGATTAATTATTTACACAAAATTTCTACATAACAATTTTTTTAAATATTATTATAACAGTAATTATCGAATTATTCCTTTATTTCTAATTGCACTTTGTATTTGATTATCTATGCTAGTGTAATATTTCATTACACTCAATAATTTCATTACTTTCTTTAGATCACCATCAAAAAAAGCAATGGACAGTTGTTTTTGCAAAGTTTTGATCATATTTTTAATTTCTTCATTGAGTTCCATGATTTCAGCCTCGGTTTCAGCATTTTCAACTTCTTCATTCTTCTCCATGATCTTTATTAGGAATTCCTGATCAACTTCTGTATTTTCAGAAATCTCTTTACCTCTTAAACGCAACATATATATACCTGAAAGTCAATTTACTTGTATAGTCCAAGTCGTTTTTATATTTGTAAAATAAATATTGATTTTTCTCTATTCCTTCAATCATAAACAATTAGAAAATTGCTTATACACTAAAATAAGACTCCAATATAGTCATTAATTAACAATACTATTGAATAAAAAAATTCTTGTTTTTTTTTTTATTTAATAGTATTGTTAATACAAGTTTTATTTAGATATATATCTATATATATCTCAAATCATTCAAAATAAGAACCTATTTTATAACATAAGGTTATCAGTGGTTTTTGCCACTATGGATACAAATAAATAGCCATAAAAATAATGTTTATTACCTCTTGCCATTGGCTCCAAAAGTGTTTTATATGCTTCATTTACCAATGACGAATATTTTTCAGATACTTCTAGTTCTTGTTTATTTCTGTAATGATTTATAAACTATTATAATACATATATTTTTTATTATATATGTTTTAATTTTTTATTCATAATTCAATAGAATTATTTATACTTATACAAGACTATTAATAAGACAGTAGCTTTGTACATATTCAATTTTGTAAGAAAACATATCAAGTCCACTTTTATTTATTTTGTATTGCTTTTGTATATTCACTTATAGTATAGGTATTAGGTTATACCAGTGTACACAAGCGAACTTATCCATTTTAGTATCTAATTATACCATAATCCTCTTAACTTCCTAATGTGAAACATTAACATTTAGAAATGTACAGAAAATACTCACTTATTAGCAAATTTATCTGGATGCAAATATTTTTGTAGATCTTTATATTTTTTTGCTAATTCGTTTTCATCCAAGTCATAGGTCTCTCTTACACCCATTATTTTAAAGTAGTTGCTATTTTTGTCTGGCTCCTGAAGAACTTGGCAATGTGAACAGAATAAATTAGAAACCAAAGTTTTGATATCTTTACCGCAAGACCAACAAGAAATCTGGCGAATTTGGCGAAACATAGACATTTTAAACTTGGAATGACGTGTAAAAACAATCAAATTCATGATTTTCTTCTTGTATAAAAAATTTTCAGACTAGAAATGTTATGATGTATAAACAAAGACAATCAAATGTGGTTTTTTACTGATTTAAAAGAAATCTTCCATTCGAACTGAACAATTTGACAAGTTGTCTTTTATATATATTGGCTGAGCTGCTGATCAGCTGATAACTGTTGTCAGTAGGCATGTGTCAATAAAAAATGTTTGTATATAATCTATGTTAGTTGTTTATTGTATTTAAAGTCAACATTAGAAAAGAGTGTTTTATTTTATGATACATATCGATATTCAAGTTGGTTGCATAAATCTATATTCTAGTTCATAAATATAAGGACAATGTCGATACTTAAATAACACAGTGGTTACTTCTTCTGTGGTTATTTGTTTCAAAAAGATTAGGTAAATTTAAAAAAAAAAATTAGGGTATGTAGATTATTTTCTAAAATAGATAGGTAGAAGTATATAGGTATATATATCTATATACTTTTATCTATTTATTTTAAAAAATAAGAAAAAAGCTTTTAATTTGACGAAGAGGTTTTAGTTGTATGATAAATAATCAAAATTTAAAACTTTAGTACTTTTCTTGTTTTTTGTTGATGCTGAACATGTATTTTCAACATTTCAATACGGTTGTATGGGTACATTTCGTATGATAGTATCAATATCAATAGAATATATAATGAAGAATTTGACTTCTACCTAAGAATAAGGACTTCTACGGACTATTCAAACGGCAGATCCATTTTTATATGACTATCTCTCTCTAATGCATTGACAATGTTATAAATACAACGTGCAAGACATTATATGGATTATGCATTTCATCTATTCTATTCCAAAATCTTTGCTTAAAAATCAATTTAAAAAAATATATTTGTCAATGTCAAATTGTCAATGTCAACCTGTGATATTATTGATAACATTATTCCAGACAAATTACCTTTTTGAAGACTAGGCAGCATGGTCTCCGACCTTAGCCTGTTCCAAACGGAACAAACGTATTAAAAAAAAAAAAAAAAAAATGATAACATTTTTTCTCTAAATTTTAATGAATGGTTTTGTTTTTCTATAATTGCAGTGTTCATATTTACTTACATAAATAGTTAGAACTATCTACTTTTGTGTTTTCTGTTAAAGTACGAGAAAATATATAAAACATAATGGTTTCTTACTTTACAATTGACGCTACTGGTGAAGTAACAAATTTTCAGAAAGAAATTTCAAACATGATGCACGGTTTCGGTGACAATCCTAACCCGAACGCGGCAACAGTTGTGTTAGTAGAAAATATTGTTTTGCAACAATTAAGATCTCTACTCCAGGAGGCAAGTAATTTCTCAAATTTGAGGGGCTCTAAAGTAATATCGAATTATGATATTATTTATTTGATGAGAAAAAATCTTTTGAAACTAAAAAGACTTCATGATTACCAATTAAAATTAGATCATATAGATAAAAGTCGTAGTACTGTTGCTTCTCCTTCAGAAAATTTAATTTCAAGTATTATTTTGGATGATGAGAAAGATCCCACAATAAAGAAGAAGCGTACACATATTGACATAATCAGGGAGTTGGATGAATATGATGAGGTTAGTCAGATTAAGTTTGATGTAATTGATTACATACGAAAAGTTAGAGCTGCCAAAATTACAGAATCAATGTCTTACGAAAAGTATGAAGCATATCACAAGGCGAGGTGTAGTTCGTTCCGATCTGGTTATGGACTCAGCAAAGGTTTTGTGAAATTGGAGCGTTGGATTAATCCCACGAAAGAGTTGAAGATAACACTGCCAGCTTTAGAAGTCCTATGTTTTATTGCTTATGAAACTGTTGCTGATATAGTTGATGCAGTTTTTTTGATTCGGCAAGATGCAAAAAAGAAAAATGGTGACCCATTTAGTAAGTTTGAGGGTGGTCACTTCTGTAACCCAGTTAGTTTGAACAATGCTATATATATCAAGTCTGGGTATGAAGGTGTACCAGCTATAACTGTAGCAGAAGTAAGAGAGGTCCTGAGGAGATACTTCAATCCAAAAACAGGAATGAATGGATTGTTTTATAGGAATATGTGTTTAGATTTACCAGTAAGATTTGTTGCCATATAGTTAAGCAATAAAAGGTATTATTAGTATTTATTAAAGTTGATTAATTATTGATTATCAATTTTTAGTTACCTTACTCATCATGTCTATAATTAACTATAATATGTCTAAACATTACCTATAATATTTTTTGAACTAGGTGTTATTTTGCAGAAGTTCATATCACTGTTTAGTCGATTAGAATTATGTTGTTTAATTTCATTACCATTAGTATGTGTGTAATTTCCAATATTTGAAGATTGACTACTATTATTATTTGTAGATGTTTTATGATCTTATTACTACTACTATTACTATTTTACCATAATTATTGTCCATAATAAGTGATTTGCAATCCAGACTTTAAACAGTTAACACTAGACTCTGAACAGTGACCTATTGATTGGCCTAAAGATGCCTCTTTTAGGGGTGAAACATATGTTGCAACATGTGAATGTACTGAATAATGGTTGGAGATTAATGAGTAATATGAAAGGTCATAGAATTAATATGGAATTAATGATGGTAGCATACTAATAGTAGCACAATTAAACAAAATAATTTGTATGACTAACTACTCATAATATTTTATGAAGTCTGAAAGTTGTATACATTAGACAGATAATACTCAAAATTAGTAATGAAAATATATTATCTCACTAGTTATGTTAGAACTTTTGGATTTGGGATTTTAGGTTGAGGTAGAGTTATATTTATAGTTCAAATTTTCTATTTTCTAACTAGCTATATTCTCTATGAATCATTATATAGAATGTCTATCCTATGTTTCAAGTTAGTCTATTACCTATCCATGTACTAAATTTAATTCAAATCAGGTCGGTAGTTTTTGCATGATAGTGTGACTAACAAACATCCATACATACACACAAACTTTTGCATTTATATAAGTAATAGGATTATTAGAATATTTAGAATTTGAAAATTGCTATTACAGGCACTTTTATAACATATAGTTATATGGATAAACAGACTTTTTATTTTTTTCATTTTTAACCGTCTTCAAAAAAGGAAGTATTATAAATCACCTATTGGATGTGCATAATATGCCGATATTTCCGATATTTCTTTATCTATTTTGATTTTTTTTCTTGTATGAGATAATCCAAAATAGTTTCGATAAAATTAATCTTTTATTTTTGTAACAAATCTAAAATTTAGTATTGGTTATTGTATGAGACTGCTCTCACCACTCCTTTATTCCCAATTCTCGTAGTCATTTCTGGAAATTCCTTTTTTTCGTGTAAAGGATTTATATGATGTGCTCACAATTTAAAATGAAAATTGTAAGCATATCGTATTACGTTCCTTACAAACTTATAAGTTACCTACGTTTATTCGAGCTAGTATATAAAAAATGCCTCCCCTAGATGGAGTAGGGAATCATTGGATGCAAGCAGCGCAGGATCGTACTTTGAAGCGAGATGTAATGACATAATAATTAATTATATTTTACTTTCGTTTTAAATTGTTTTACTTTTTCGTGAGATCGTGTCGGACAGTGATCTCCGCGTTGGCAGATTTGGATGATATAAGGGCATCTAATTTGCAATTCAATGAGTTATATTTCATTAGTGAAGTGCGACTTTAAGAGTAGTATTTAGCTACCTGACTGTTTAAGCTTCAGTACTGAGTAATTTAATTCTTTAATTGTAATAAAGGAATTAGAAAAAGGTTGTTAGTGAGCTCGGGAGCCTCATCTTAAACCATATCTTCGTTTTTCATCAGGTGAGATCGTGGTTAATCGTGGGACCTTTTAACAGTAATAAAAAAAAATCCGAAAGTAAAAATAAATTCGAATTTTTTTATAGCTATTTATATTCTCAGGACGGGAATATAAATAGATATAAAAATTGTTTCTATGTACTTTACTAGAGTAATACTCGTATTAACAGCTCAGGTTAGGATATTATTTGAAAATATACACCGGCGGGGCACCACTGAAGGATGATAGATGAGGATGAAGCAGGTCAGTTAGCCCATCATGACGAATTCAACAAGAATTGTTCATGATGGTTTCCAGGAAACTGTGTGGAGGTCAAGCTGTTAGGGTATATTGCTAACAATGGGGCTGCTAGTAGACCCTATTAATAACAACCCCTTCCCTCCCCCCCCCCCCCCCCCCCCCCTATACATAGACTTAGTATAACGTACTACGTACTATCTAAGCCTGTATATATAAAATAAAACGGTTCTAACTAATATTATAAATATGTGTTAGGGAGTAAAAGAATTATTAGTAACGGTGATCTAAAAGTCACATTACTAGCATATATATCAGGTCGACCTTCATATAAGACACAATATCTTAACCTATCATATCTCACTGATGTTCCGCCAGCATATATCGGTAGCGCAGGCGGGGTTAACATTTCATCTTCATCCACTAAAAAAAATATCTATAGAGCTATGTTAGTTCAGAGGTTTTGATTTATAACGTGTGAATGTGGCCTAGAAATTCTTGATACTAGAGGGCATCATCCTCAAGGTGGAAAAATAAAAAATACGTATTTAAAAACCTAATTTAACCTCTTATTTCGATGAGGTTGTTATCTGATGACAAATCAATACCTCTACAACGAAGTTTTCCAAGATAAGAGAAACTTGAATTAAATGCTTAAAATGAAATGTTAACTTGGTTGCTTAGCGAATGAGGTACCAAAGTACTCCTCATTTCTGAGATAGTAAAGTTTTGTTAGTTTTCAAAAGCATTTAAGGGTAATCTATGGGGCTAATGACTTTGATAAGTGCCGGGTTTCGAGGGATGTGGGAATAATATTTGTCTCTTAGCTTAAATTTGTCTTTTATCAAAATAAAACGTATCTATTTATTGTTAATATCTTTATAATCAAAGCTGAATATAAATTTGGGATTTTTGATAAAAGAAACACCATCATCAAAATCAGTTTACCAAATTAGAATTTCCAAATGAGACTACAATATAAAGTTTTTCAAAAAGGTTATTTTAAGGTTTCTTCAGGGTCGGCAACCCGCACGTGACACATGTAGTGTTGCAGGCGTCCATAAGCTACAGTGACCGATTACTATCAGATGGGCTGTACGCTTGTTTGTAATTTTGGTGGTATAAAAAAATCTGTTTCGAGTTATCTTTTTCTGAATTTGGTTAAAAATTAATCTAGTCGTTTAGTTTACCACTGTTATTTTTGCAATGTATGTTTTAAAAATTATGTTTCGACATGATTGAAAAAAATATGCATTTAAAGTACATTATTATAAAATACGTATGTATTAAGAAAAAATATTAATTATTATCTATCGTCCAGCAAAATGGTACAATTAGCTTATTAGCAACCGATATTTAAGTTGTTGTGTGTTAAAGGATTTTGCAATATTTAATTAATATAAATATTTTTTTTTTAAAAGGTACTGTAATACTACTCACACAATGTATTCGATTTAAATTTTATCTGGAGGTGCAAGCTATTCGAGTATGGATTAATTCTACTAATTAGAATTTATAGTGCTACTAAAACGTAATGGAATTAAAATAACGTAATTTTTCTGGCAACACAAAATAGTTGCTAGATATTAAGCAATTTTTTTTTAACAGACATGCATTTTGATATGTAGCCCCGTTATCTAGAAAGATTTAATAGTGTGTATAGTGCTAGGCATTTTTGGGCTGGCTTACAATTTTGGGGAAGATTTTAATATTATTTTAATATAAAATTACACGTTTCTCATTTGTGACTTTTTATTGTGATTTAGAAAGGCAAACAAGCTGAAGGAATATTTGATCGAAAATAATAACTGTTAAAACAGTAACAGCATCACTCACATCACATAATATACTGAACTCATGATAATAATATTTCGTTGTCAATTATAAAGAAGCATCGCAACTCTATGTCCACTTTCCTTGTCATTTTAAAACAGTTATTTAGATGCAGATCACTAGCGGAATTTTGCAAACCTCGGATTCGACTGTAAAATTATTTTAATTGGATTATATCTGCAAAATCAAATCAAGCAATTGCGTTAAGATAATTAGAGGTATTCCGGTAGAAACCAGAGGGAGACTTTGTACAAAAGTCCTTTGCTTGGGTACCTCTGTCTCATTCGTGTTTCTACCATGAAGCAGTTGTGTTTGCATGACTGTGTTTCGGTTTAAAGGGCGGGATATGGCAGTGAATTTACAGGGTACAGAGGCATAACACCTTAGCCCTTAAGAATGGTAATGCATGGGGGAGGTGGAGTAGCATGGGCGAAAGAATGTACTCTGTTATGCCCATGCTACGGTTCATAACTATACGTGACGGTTACCACTTTCCATCAAGTGGGTCGTCAGCTTGTTCGCCATTCTAAGTTACGTAAAAAAAATTTTAATTTGTAAAATGACTTGGGACAGTAGGTACATGTTATATCTCTTTCGATTTTAACATATAAGTGGCTTGGTGGCTAACGGAGTGCACTCCAGATCTCTAGAGATTCCCTAGCTAGGCATGAAGTACCGCCCCAATCTTTACGATTAATTGAGTGGGCCGAAACGAAAACCTACGTAAATTGGCTATCGACCTCACGGCTACATATTGTTACGTTTACCCTATCGAGGTCAGACCTTTTGACTTTCGAGTACGTTCGGCATCCAGAGTTATTTGATTAGGGTAGATGTGTGTATGCCACAAGGTTTTTCATTTTCTTTAAAAATAAAAAAAAAAGTACATATATACTCATGACTGTAATTTCTTATGGAGTACTCAGAGGTCTTTGGTGAGAAATAACCGTAGTGCAGAACCTCAATCACGAAGGAGAGCCTCATCGACGATCCACTATCATTGTAAAAACCACGACCAACCACCAAGTGTACGACTGAAGAGAGAGAGAGAGAACGCACCCAGAGATTATCTACATATACACAAATATACTAGTAAAAGTTGATAATATTCATTGCATTTGTACTCGTATTGTATTTTGTTTGTTACATTATAGAAATAACAATTAAGACGATTGCTCTGCCACGGACATTATATTATTATATGTATGTAGTGTTACTTGGGAAAATTTTAACAAAACCACATATATTTAAATCTATTTAG